GAATGTCATTGGCGCGGGCGAAGTCACGGGCCCTCTATAACTGTCATATGTCTTTGATATATGAAAAAACTCATATAAGTTTGTTTATGGTTAAAATAAATAAAGTAAGCGAATATTCGTTATCTATAGATATTTTCCGTTTTTTGTGGAGTGCTCTCACTGCACGTTCGGTAACATTTCGTTTATCTACATTCTACCCGTTGAAAGGTAATAGACCTCTATACATATAATTTTGTAAAAACGTCTGTGACTGTTTATACAGGTGTCGGAATATTAATTATTACTTTATAAAGGTTTTTAATAAAATTGCATATTTGATATGAATTAAGTTTTATTTTTATTTGAAAAAGAAAACACGTCTTAAATAGTTATTATACATGAACAGCACGTATCAGATGCTGAATGTTGTGTTCCTTTGTCAATGCATAATTATCATATGAACGGAGCTATCGCCGACGGACGACAGAACAATCGTGTTACTATACGAATAACAATATATACTTATTTGGAATGTTTGAACGACTTTGTTAAAATATTTTCCAAAATGTTGCTTTTCAATGTTAAAACACCATGAATTGTTACCGTCCACACTTCGTTCGTTCGAGTTTAAATTTAGAACGTGCATAAAATTTTTACCTCCCAATTGACAGTCACAGTTTTCCTTTAAACATTGTATTTGAATGTAATAAAATTCTTTATTTTGAAACATCTTATTTCTAGTGTAAGTAGTTTTGTTTATTATTAACTGTAATAGTATAGCGTCGGCGGTAATAATGTTTAGTGTGCGAGGTCGTGTCGTGTTCAATGTGTTTCATTATGCAGTCTCGTCCTCGCCCATATGAGTGCTGGTGCACGTCGCGTCCCCAGTCTAAGACGGGACAATGCTTTGAATTAATCATACACACTGTATTAAGGTACGAGACGCTGCAACTATACAATCTAACTCAAGTTTCGTGTTAAATTAGTATTTTAATTCTTAACATGTAAATTGTAATGTTTGTTATAAAGCTAAGCGTCTATTTCGCGGTAACGCCGCTAGTGTCAAGGTCACGGCCGGCGTCCCCGCGCCGCCCGGCCCTCGCGTCCCCCGCCACGAGCGTTGACTTTTTATTTTTACTTTTAAAGCCCTTCTTGAGTGGATTGCACTCAGCTGCATGTGGTGTGTGGCGTGTGACTCATATGATCGTTTATTTATATAGATATAACAAAAATAATTGTCGATCGATGCGGCGTACGAATAAAAATCTGCATTACAGAAGCTATTTATATAGCAGCGGACACAAAGGACTCGAGGAATCTCGGACGAGGCGATACGAACATCGGTCAATACTGAAATAGAAATAAGGATAAACTGACCGGCTCGAGTTACGAGTCGCGGTAATATACGTAGCGGCGGAGTCAAATTGTTTACACTTACCACTGTACATGTTAAATTGAAAATAATACTATATGTAGGTAAACCATCGAAAAAGACAAATTCTGTTAATCATTGATGGATCAACATTATTTTCTCCACATATTGTATAGTTACTTCCCCCTACTCCGTCCGTGTCTGTGCCGCACCGCTAACTCTGTCTAATTTCCACATATCTAAAGAAGTTTTAATTGTTTTCTAGACTATAAACATTTTGAGTAATATTAATGTTCCTCGCTCGCCGACCGTACTAATTAATTGAACAAATAAAATGTACGCATAACTGTTCATACTCAATTAAAGTTTATTACGTGTATAAAAAAGTGAGATTTATTATACTTAGTCTCGGCATTAAGATTATTTTGGTGAAATTTATTTCTCTTTACCCTGCTGCATATATGTATAATATTATATGTATACTCTCCGTACTATGTAACAATATTAATTCCCAATAGTATAGTGATCGTTTCTACATCAGATGATCGCCGTCAGTGTTAGGTCGTTGACCCTAACGGTGAGTGTTCGCGACTCGAGACAACACTAACACCTAGCCCCGACTTGCCTCGTCTAACACCACCACACCTAAGCTTGAAGGCAAGACTACCTTAATAGCTGTTCCTATGCATCTGATACATAATAAAAACGTCTTTAACTCGTGATACAATAAACGGTTCCTCTGTTCCGATACGATTGGCTCTTGAGAGCTGTTCGCTTCGTAAACAGATCATGAAGGGTCCTCTCATTGAGCACCCAGCCTGCTGATTCCTATCGTTTTGAACCTTATTCCCTTGTATTAAGGTTGTTGCTAGCGTCTCTCTCCAGCTCGTGATTGAGCTCTTCACGACTTGACTTCTTTCTCTCGACCTAATTGTCGAGTGTTTTAAGTTTCATCGCTTAAAAATAACTCTGTTCGGAAGTAGGGCGCCCCCTCCCCTAAGTTACGAACCCCTATATATTGGCCATAGGGGTTAAAGTCAGCTTCTATATATTTTCTAATATAACAGAATGTTAATAAATATTTAGTAAATAATATCTGCCCGGTTGATGGTAGGTGGTAGGAGTTTACCGTTGGAGATGCTGTTAGCTTTAGTGTTTGCACGTCTCAAGAGATTTAGCTTTACGTGTTCAGAACATGAGATGTTGCCATCAATGTACAATAATATTATGCTTTACTTCGTTGTGATTATTATTATTGTATTCTTGGTGTGTGTGTGTGGTCATGTGTGACGGAGGACGGTCATCGTCAGTCAGATGGTCAGATAATCAAACATTACAATACAAAAATACGATATTTTTTTTATATATGTATAGGATACTAGCTTTCCGTCCGCAGTTTCGTCCGCTTGGAGTTCGGTTATATCGCGTTTCCAAGAGAACCTTTAACAGTCTGTGATAAAAACTATCCTATGTTCTTTCTCAAGGTAAACTCTATCTCTGTACCAAATTTCATTAAAATCAGTTCAGTGGTTCAGGCGTGAAAGCGTAACAGACAGACAGACTTACTTTCGCATTTATAATATTAGTAGGGATAATGAGGCGGGTCCGTGTACAAAGATTTTTTTTATTGCATACATTCTAATACAATATATTTCAATGACATTAAAACATTTTTTTAAATATTACATTTATTCTTATATTGAAAGTATTTAATTTGCATATAGACTTCTATGACAATATCTAAAAGGACTGATAAATGTATTGAAATTTATATATTTTTATTTTTTAATAATATTGCTGACATCCAAAAACATCAGTCACTTAAAGAGTTAGTATGAATATATTATAAACATAGAGAATGTGCTCTGAACTGGGAGGTAGGTGACTTTCAAATTTGAATACATTTGTATATCAAGCTTGGTATAAACAAACGCGCGGAGACGGGATATACATATATGTATATAATGAGATCTAATACAATTGAAATGAAACTAATATTATTGGGATATACTACGCGTGCTTAATTTTGCAAAAAACTATATATTCCCGACGTTTAGGCTACTTTTCAGCAACCGTGATCACGGGCGATGTAAATCCTAAAAATATTAGTTTCATTTATATGTACGTATATTTTATGTAAAGTATTATATAGATGTGTAAACAAACTTTAACATTCCAAGTGTTTGTTTGCTTCATGGTAACGGGAAACTGATAGCTCTAAATATAACTTATCTCCTCCCTGGCCGACACGATTTATGGACCATTGTTTATTACACTCAAATATATCTAAAACTAACGATATATGGACTGATTGAAATAACACAATCATATATATATACATATGTATTTACCCGACTGCTGTTTAAAAGTTGAGTTGTGATTTTAACGTATGCACACGTTAAAAGAGTTTGAGTTCGGAAAATAATATCTTTATAAATCTTTATATAACATACTTAAAAATATCAGTATTTATAAGACATTTCTGGACATATGTTAGCTATTTTTAATAAGTTTTTTATAAGTTAGTGAGTGTATATATTTTCGCAAACCCGGGGTGAACGACCTCACCCCCAGTCGGGATAATCGTAAATTAGTTTGATCACATGTTCAATATAAACAAAGTGTGTAACAACACGCTCCTCAGTCTTACAACTATTAATAAAACATATTAAAAGTTCAACAACTTTGTGTTACATCTGAGAAGTGGATGCTTAGTGTTCGAGAGGTACATTAACATATTAAATTATTTATTGTAAGAGAGAGGCTGCTAGCGGTTTTTGTGTTTAGAAATCAGTGCCATATCTATATATATACAAAAATAAAATTAAATCATAATACCAATTAGTAAGACTTACTTTGACACACAATTAAAAAGCACACAAGAAAAGAAAGTTAAAGAATTAACCGTATTTTAAAGCGATTAAAAATGTTTAAAAACTCTTATCATAAATAGATAAAATATAAATTGTCTTAAAACCACTGACTGCTAGGTAACGGGAATTTATATTACAGTTGCATATTGAAATAAGTCTTTCATATCAGAAAACGGATTTAAAACTCAATCAACATTTATGTACAGTGTATTGACTTATTTAAGAATATAAAAATATTGGTTCATACGTTTCGATCTTAGAAAATAGTAAAGTAGTATAGTTCATAATATTAGTGCATAATCTGGGTAATTCAACGTTAAACGTTCAGTCTATCTTCCTGGTTATTCTCCATTTTATCTGATAAGTGGTCTGAGGTTTCATCCCTTACGGTGCAGACATCTGCAATGGGGGGAGGGAGGGAGTTGCAGATGTCGACCCCAGACTGGGAGGAAGGAGGAAATGGGGGGAAGTTACGGAATACTTAGTGATGGGAGACGCTCTAAGAACTAACTAATAGATAAATCTATTGTTGTGATGTACTAGATTGATATTACTGTAAAATATATTGTATATAAATAACATGTTCGTGCATTGTTCGTATGTCTGAGGTAACTCATCCCATAGTGATCTATGAGCCGTGAAGTCGCTCCTATTCTCGGTACTATCTCGACCTAGCCCTCTCCGACCTTCGTCCGGACTCGCCTTATTCGTCCAGAGACGAATGCCATGTGTCGGGAACTACCATAACGGGGCTTTAGTTATGGAGATTTATTTAAATGATTCATGTCACATTCCTCGGCCATACATACTGTTCATCCGTCTGCCGACCTCCAGTCCTGATGCAGATGTATCTATTTGCATGGACCTCGCCTTATTCGTCGGCCATGACGCTCCTCGCCTCTCGGTCCATATCAGACATGATCGTTGTCGACACACCGATGGTCACGTGTCCACGTGTTCGTGACGCCAACCCCACAATGGACAGTGGCTTTGACCCGGAGCAGGCACCGTGACGCCGCGTCCGACCAGATTCGACTTAGTTTGTTATACACGCGCTGTATAAATTATAATGCTCTGTTGTGGGAACGAAAACAAATTAATACAGAACCTCGCATCGTCTGTAATAATATAGTATAATGCGAAATTACTTTTAATGTGTCTGGAGTACGTACTGTCTGTAATCAAGTCGGGGCACGCTCAAAGAGAGAGCTCCGTGGAGGGCTCGGTGTAAACTGGGAGAGAGCATTCATGTCAATTACTATGAGAGGTGCGCGGCATTTACTGTACAGATAATACGCACGTACACAGAACACAGATTACTCTTGATTATGTATAAATATAATACTTGAAGACCTTTTTGTTTATCAAGGGACTATAAGTATTAAAACGATCTCGCTGATGCAACTTTAAATCACGTAACTTTGATTATTATTAGACCTCAGAACCAATTTTAGAATGCATATAATGAAATCTCGGGTACAGTACGGTAACATGGTACTCGTGAGTAACGGATGCACCTCGGCGCCTCCACTTGTACATAACAGACAATTGACTTACATCTTCGACCCACTAACAGATACTGTTTCTCTAAACGGTATCGGAAATGAACTATCAATTATTTAAAACGAAATACATCACGCTGAGATTACAACGCCGGCTAGCGATGGCGTGGGCTGAACTGTGGATAGTAAATACAGACTGACAGTTAGTACGTGATCAATTTACATGTTTAAATACAATTGGTTCGTTTCCCAAGTAAATGTTCTGTGAGAGTTTAATATTAAGAAGTCTAAGTCGCGTGTAACGACGTGGTCACGACTTGGTGTAATATAAAACATAATAGTTGTGGTAGCGTGAACTATGGTAGTTATATTGTGGGTCGTCTGTACGGTATTGTTTATTAAATAGATTACATAGAGCAACTGATATAGAGATCTAAATATTTCGCGAGTATTCATTTAAATGTAAGTAATATTTATCAAGCACGCGTAGTATATCCGAAAACTATTAGTTTCAACTGAAATAAAGTTTCCCAAAAAACATTTCTATCTATATTTTTTGGTTCCTCACGTAATTTTTTGTGTCGTATCTCAAAGTGAAGTTTAAGTAATGTTATTGTTCTGTCAGGCATCATGAACGGCTTGAACGGTCATAGTAACGGCGACATGAACGGCGCCGGGGACATCATCACACAGAACCAGCAGCGGGGCTGGTGGACCATAGGACTCATCAACTCGCGGTACAAGTACCTCACCGCGGAGACCTTCGGCTTCAAGATCAACGCCAACGGGACCAGCCTCAAGAAGAAACAGATCTGGACGCTGGAGCCCGCTCCCGGGAAGGCCGATGACAGTGAGTACTACATACACACACACACACACACACACACACACACACATATATGTACATATACTCATAATCATCAATACATCATTCGTCGGATATAGTCCAAAGCCACGTAACTAGCATTAGATAATTCTGCGTATCTGCTTTTCATTTCAATTAATTTTACATGAGAAGTTAAAAACTAAATTATTTCCCGAATTTAATGAGGTTTAAAGTTTTTTTTTTCAAATTGTATAAATTTAGACTTAAATTTCTAACTTGTTGTTGTTGTTGAATGAAATGCTCTTTAAATGTAATATCTGTGTACCGTGTAGTCACCCCCACCCTTGTACCTCATCAAAGGAGCTCAATATTATTTCCAATTTCCGCCCCGGGCCGGGCTCCGAACCCTCGCTAATTGATGAAAAACCGGTTCGGTTATTTCATTTTAATTGATTTTCGTGTTTCTATCATATATAGTCCATTGTTTATTATTTGCATTCATAGGAGATTGCACGCTTCATTAACAATTCGGCATTTTTGTTAACCTTTTTTTATTTATGAAATTTGTTTTAAATAAACCAGTTCCGACAGATAATGAATATGACGATAGTTATAAAACTGTTGTTAAATATTTTCAATTTTATAATTCGATCGTGGACATGTCCTCAAATCTCGTGTATCATTCATTAGTATGTGGAGTGAGGATATAAGTGCTTTCAATTTAACATCTGATTTAAACCGACTACAAAGAGAGGTGATTGTTCCCCCCCCCTCCCTCATGATGCACGGCCTCACATTATCCACCCCTCATCCCCGTGTACGTGAGGGTCGCACCCCTGTCAGCTGGTGCCCTCTCATCGATCCGGCTCCTCTGCCGCGAGACCAACTAAAATTTACATCCCGAAAATATATTTGATGTTACTCAATTATCCCTACTAATATTATAAATGCGAAAGTAACTCTGTCTGTCTGTTTGTTACGCTTTCACGCCTAAACCACTGAACTGATTGTAATGAAATTTGGTACAGAGATAGAGTTGACCTTGAGCAAGAACACAGGATAGTTTTTATCCTAGACTTTTGAAAGGTTCTCTTGGAAACGCGATATAACCGAACTCCACGGGGGTGAAGCTGCGGGCTAGTATTTTTATATAAGTATTCATCTTTAAATCCTCGTAGTTTCGAATCTTCATTTATATTGTTTAATATATTTTTGTATCAGTAAGTCAGCGATGTCATTCGATTGAATGTTGATAGTCATTGAAGCCGATCTCTTCGCCTATATAAAAACAGCTGATGTGTGTGTCTGTGTGCTTATAGACGGTATAGAACTCATTCACACGTGAAACATGTCTTACTGTTATGGAAACACACACACACACACACACACACACACACACACGCACACACACACATGACGACTCTTTGTTATCAATCACACGGAACATCTGATACCGCCTATAACATTAGACATTTGTATACCGAACAGACGATCGTATTGATCATAATATTGAAACCGAGTCTTAAAACGGAACAAACAATACTATATAAGAATACACTAAATGTTATGGTTTCAACATCTTATGTATAGGATGGGGTCATTGAACTACATAATATTACTAAACCAGATATTAATTTGTATAATGGAGCTTATTAATTTATTGTTAATATATACTGTGATTTGAATATTAAAACATACTGTATACATTAACATACATACACACGATCAATATATTAGAGCTCGTCTGTGCAGGTATGATATATTTGAGGTCTCACTTGGACAAGTACCTCGCCGTGGACTCCTTCGGCAACGTGACCTGCGAGTCTGATGAGAAGGAGGCTGGCAGCAAGTTCCAGATAAGGTGAGATCATCATCACAACACATTCTATCTCCCTCACTCACTCTCCTCTCTCTGTCACTCTGATATATGTTACCTAATATAAGATTTGAATTAAACTTAAACCTTCCAAGTATAATATATAAGTGATGCAGACGATTCGGTCTTGGTTATAAAATATCGTTAGGTCTGGCTCCGCTCCAAACTAGATTCTTGAAGTGCTCTGAAGCACTGCGACCCAAACTACTGCATAACTTTTGTTCGTTCACGAATTTTAATATAAATTCACTGCTACAAAAATTTCATGGTTTATGCTAATGTTTTTCTTATAGTATCAAGTCAAACTTTATATATTCTTGTATAGTCATTCTAGATTCTCAAAATAGAGGGTTGATGTCAGGCAGTCGGCCGGTCGTAAAAAACAATCAGCCAAAACTATTCACAACACGTAAGGCAGACCCTGGCTATAGCCGGGAAATTGCCAGGTAGAACAAGTATAGTCATTCTAGTTTTTGAAATAAATCATTGTTGATGTAAGGAAGTCTCTCAGGTACTGGAATACTAATCAAAATCCTGATGACTCACCGGAACACATTTAATTTACGAGCCATTGTTGACTCGCGAAAACTATCCTCATTACTAATAGAGGAAGTTTGACAAAAACGATACATCTGTTATACTAATATACATTTATTAAAAGATTTGTTATATATCAGTTGTATGTGAGTATTACAAGAGACGAAGCAATACTTATTAGTAAACATAACGCAGCTGACTGAGCGAAACGATTGTTACTACAACGAACGACGAACAATCACAGTGACTCAATACATGACTCACATCCCCTAGGGTAACACGCGACATAAAAACAAATTACACTCTAACTTAGAAAAAAAATTATTAAGATGAGAAGTAAAAGGTAATACAGAATGAAAACTTGACTTAAGATACTCAGATTAACAGAAATATCGAAAGGGTTAAAAGGGTGTTTGGCGTTATTATAAAGAGGGGAAGTGGTTGTGAGTTATAATGAGCGCGTGGCGGGTGACAGAATATAACGAGTGGCGACCCTTTGTATGGAGTGGCTAGGGAATAAGATATACCGGCCGGCTGGGTTAAAAGATATTAATTAGAATATTTACTGTTTATGTTAAAAGGGAAGGTAGAATCGAATTACGCACTATCGTTAAAGCTAACAGATCAGTATAGTAAAGTACGAGTAGTTATATCCCTAATAATATTATAAATACGAAAGTAACTCTGTCTATCTGTCTGTCTGTTACGCTTTCACGCCTAAACCACTGAACTGATTTTAATGAAATTTGATACAGAGATAGAGTTGACCTTGAGAAAGAACATAGGATAGTTCTCTTGGAAACGAGATATAACCGAACTCCACGCGGGCGAAGCTGCGGGTAGAAAGCTAGTAGTATATATGTAGTCTGTATGTTTTATTAAAACAAATATAATATGTAATGTGTCGAGTTGGTATTTCAAAGTCAGCCTCATCATTAAATTTTCGCAGCTTTCAAGACAATTTTCACGTTTACTACAAACACACATTCGTGTTCGGAAATCTCGTATATTTAAATGGCCCACACTCAATTAAATAGAAACCAAGTACTAAAGAGAATTATTTCTCATTGTAGAATTGATTTTATAAAATTAAATAATGATGTGACAGTAATAAATAAATCTGTCTTTGAGACTTGTCCGTGGCAAACTGTCCACTCACGAGACGTGGCCAATTAAAACGGCTATTAATTAATGAAATAAATAATACATTTAAACATAAATTGGATTTATCTTTTCAATAATGTTATCTGCTTTGGAAATATTTGTACTGTTAGACACATTAATTTTTATTATTTACATGACTATGTATATGAGTACTGGAAGTGAAGATCTCTTGAATAGTTATAATATATTATCATCAGCATATCAGAGCCCACTGCTGAGATGCCTCTTCTCACATGGAGAAGGTTTGAGAATTAATCACCACGCTTGCTCAAGACGGGTTGGTGATCTCAAACTTAGAATTTGAAATTATAAGTCCAGTTTTTCTCGCGATGTTTTCCTTCATCAGTCAGTGGTGTCTAAATACTCTTAGAAAGTACACATGACTTGGAAAAATTACATTGGTATTTGCCAGGTTACGAACCCGCGTCCTCATGCACAAGCGGCATGCCTTTAACTACTAGGTCATAAGGACTTTTAGTTAATATGTATTAAGGTTACATAATATATTTTGTGTGAAGTGTGTCGGAGGACGGGTCTGGGCGTTGGGCTCTCAAGAACGTGGAGCGAGGATACTACCTGGGGTCCAGCTCCGACAAGCTGACCTGCACCGCCAAGGTCCCTGGAGACGCTGAACTATGGCACGTGCATCTGGCGGCCAGGCCACAGGTACACACATACACACACACACACACACACACACACACACACACACACACACACACACTATCCTCTTAATTAGTATTAATTGATAGTGATGAAACACCGATATGTGTATGTAACTGCATTCCTACCACCAGCGGGTCCGTGTTCATAATTGAGATGCAGATGAACATTCAAATGTAGCGTCTAATTGATATAAAAACATCCGCACACATCACACGCGTGAACACGCGATACAATACATCCTTCAAATAATATTCATTCAATTTCCTCCTAATGTATATATTTATTGATCAAGTCTATCATAAAAGTTTGGTACGATATTTGAACAGCACTCACACTTATACCAAATAGTACAGTCATGAGAAATCACATTATACAAATAACATATATTTCGTTGCTTTTCTGTTCGTATAGACCCTAGTATCTTCGTAATTCCTATACGTACAGTTTGTTTGTGAGGGGTGTTTCCTTAGTCCGTTAATATCTATATTTCGTTGCTTTTCTGTTCGTATGGACTCTATCTAGTATCTTAGTAAGTCCTATACGTATAGTTTATTAGTGAGGGTAGTTTCCTTAGTCCGTATGTGTGTATGTATCAGATGAATCTCCGCTCCATCGGCCGCAAGCGGTTCGCCCACCTCTCGGAGTCTCTGGATGAGATCCACGTGGACGCGAACGTGCCGTGGGGCGAGGACACGCTGTTCACGTTGGAGTTCAGAAGTGACGAGGGAGGGAAGTACGCGCTGCATACCTGCAACAACAAGTACCTCAGCGCGCCCGGGAAGGTACAACTATATAGAATGATTTATATCTTCGAGGAAAGGGCAAATCGCGTAAAATCCTTACAAGTTGTTAATATAGAAAATACTTGAACTCAAACTTTCTTCTGATAATCTGCTTCCAATATAGATATGCGGAATTATCCAATGATAGTTACACAGATTTGCACTATCCCTGACGATAAGTTTCGTATATTCGTAATAACTAATGAATATAACATTCTCTGTATATAGTTGTTGGACACCTGTACGCCGGAGTGTCTGTTCAGCGCGGAGTACCACGCGGGAGCCCTAGCGCTCCGTGACGCGGCGGGCGCCTACCTCGCGCCCATCGGCTCCAAGGCGGTGTTGAAGACTCGCTCCACGGCCGCCACCAGGGACGAGCTGTTCTCTCTGGAGGACAGCCTGCCGCAGGCCGCCTTCGTGGCCGCGCTCAACGACAAGCACGTGTCTGTCAAACAAGGTACCTACATATATCTTTATATATATAATTCTTCTGTGAGTGTGTATGTCACTGAACTTCTCTCAAACGACTTTACCGATTTTGACGAAATTTTTGTGTGTGTTCAAGGGGATCTGGGAATGGTTTAGATTCACAATTTTATCCGCTGGACAATGTTTTAATTAATTTTTAATTTATTAGTAGTTGTTGATACAAACGTTGTTTTTTTGACATTAGATTTGACAACTAACTAATATGTCAATCATTCTGTCGCACTTCAAAACACGGAGATTTATGGCTTTAATAGGTAAACTCCAAAAATATAAATAAATAAACCTAACAGATATTTCTTGATTATAGGGCGATACGAAGTTCGCCGGGTCTTCTAGTATATTATAGAAATTTATTTCTCGTAAATCTACATTAAATTTGACAACTAACTAATATGTCAATACATATTGTGTGTGTCGCAGAATGAGAACGATGTAGAATTCATATTCTTCGTTAGATTGCAATGTGTTGAATTTCTTTTAAACAATCAGTGCGCACACCCGGAGCAAGCACTACTGATAGTTAAAGTGACGTCGATAGATAACGAAACAATTTGAATTAAAAGCATGCATGGAGGCTTCACAAGTTGCTAATTAATAAAACGAATCACTATATGTTGGTATTAAATACTATGTCTAACATATAATACATATATGTCCATAATATATTTATCCCCCTGTATATATCAGACACTCGGCGCTGGTCTCATCAGTATACAACACACGCTCACACATTCATAATACAATGTACATTAAACTTTAAAGGATATGTCGTTTAAATACAATCACAGACTTTTTATGGATGTATACATGTGTATGTAGTTTAATATTAAGTATGTGTAGTGCAGGAAACCGTTTTAATCTCGCCGCATATAATTAATACGTCTCTCTCAACACTACAGACAATAGTACAAAGTAGAGTAAATTTTTAATATTGACAATTACTTAAAAGCTTCCACACTAAAGAATGTTTAATTCACGTCCACCGGTTTGTTTTGTTCAGATTTTTAATTCGTTCAATATTATTACCATAGAGATCATAGTAATTTGAATATTTAATATATTAAGGTCTAGTTACAGTTACCGATAGAAACCAGTTCCTTCAATAATGTAGATGATAGAACACACTTTCGACGAGATCGTTTTAGAATATTTATTTGTTAAGAACTAATAATATATACACAACTTTCTTATTACTAGAATTTTTTTTTTATTCAAAAATAAAATAATATTAAGAACATATTGGAATATTAATTATTATTTTGTTCATAGAAAATTTATCGATGAATTAATAATTTTTATCCATGCAACAGTTTACCCGGTGCGTGTATTTAACGTTAAGAGTACGTCGGGTGTCAGTGACCCAGTTAACTCTAAATCAAATGTTACTTTCCCCATGTACTGTTAACTTACGGCACCTCGCTACTACACGAATACACACAATATATGTATAAGATTTAAATTAAATCATATATGACATAAGCTATAGTAATGTCTTGAAATCCTTTGAACATACAATGATAGAACAGTAAAAACAGATTCCATGAATGTATAACTCTCAGCGCAGTTATTTCTCACAAAAAGTCATGTATTGTGAGCGCTTTCTAGTTTCTGTTACGGTCGGCCGCGCGCGTGACGATGAGAACTGACTGACGGATTACTGAGACACAGGCCGCGAATATATATATGTGACGAGGGTAGACTGAGAAATAGAAAATAACAGGCGAACATACAGTATGATAAATGGGAATATTAGAGGTAGAAGATGACTAACACATAAAAGACGAGATTGCTCACTAGATCACTGACGAAAAAATTTTGATAGGTTCAGGGACTAGATAAAGATATAAGATTATAAGGGGGGGGGGGGGGGGGGGGGGGGGTAAAAAGTTCATGTAAACGTTAATACGGTAGTATTCAGTCAGACTGGGAGGTGATCATTTGTATATGTATAATAGTTAAGTCTTCTTCTACCTGGCAATATCCCAGCTTTAGCCAGGGTCTACCTCACATGTTGTGAATTGTTTTGGCCAATTGTTTTCACGACCGGCCGCCTGCCTGACATCAACTTTCTTTGGGAATGCATTAATCAGTGATGTCTAAATACTCTTAGAAAGTACATATGACTCAGAAAAATCACTTTAGTACTTGCCAGGATCGATCCTGTGCTCTCATGCATGAGAGGCGGGCCTTTTAACCACTAGGCCACCACTGATTTATTACAATAGTTTAATATATATTTGTTGTATGTCTGCAGGCGTGGACGTGACAGCCAACCAGGACGAGATCTCTTCCCACGAGACGTTCCAGCTGGAGTTCGACTGGGGCACGAGGCGCTGGTACATACGGACCATGCAGGACCGGTACTGGACGCTGGAGACGGGCGGCGGCGTGCAGGCCAGCGGGGACAACAAGTAACAACACACACACACACACACACACGCTTGATAGACATACTACAGCTCGAACATGTGCTGGCTCGACTGGGGAAGTATCACCCTCTAATACAGAAGAACGGCGTGTAGTTGTCTTTAATGGCTGCGTTTCGTTCAATGAGCGAAGTAGCCGGTTGCCCTTAGCTTTTCCATCCTTCTTTTTCATCCTATTTTCTAATTAAGAGCAGCAAAACATTCGCAAATCTAAGTTGTGGATGTCCATGGGTGGTACTACCTCAATCGGGTAGGCCGTTGCTCTGTTGCCTCCTTTACCATGAAAAAAAACAGTGATCCCTTCCTATTATAAATATTAGTTCACTCAGTGCCCTCGTCTTACTAGTTGTTAGAGCTTTACCAAAACATTTCTATCCTATACATGATCCCATCTAATCGTATATTATCGTCAGGTCGTCCAACGCGTTGTTCGAGTTGTCGTGGCAGGGTGACGGCGCGGTCTCGTTCCGCGCCAACAACGGCAAGTACGTGCTGACCAAACGATCCGGACACTTGTACGCCAGCGCCGACACTGTGGACGACAACTGCAAGTACTACTTCTATCTGATCAACAGGTGAGGGATCACAATAGACTGGTCGATAGTATCTTAAGTTATACAGGGTGACTGGTGAATTACTATCAATATTTAAGGAGCATACTCGGTACATGATTCTCATTCGAATTATGTAAAAAAAATAGGTACTTAATTTTTGACCAAATTTCCGTATAAATAAGTAAAGTGTTGACACGTTCCAAGTGTTCAAGTGTGGACGCGTGCGGCGACGTGTTGATACAACACCACGTCACGACATGCGTATGTGTGAGTGTCAGTGTATACCTAATCTGTAGGATGTTCATACGATGCGTAATTAATTACATAACTTTTGGTTAACTTTACTTAGAAGTATATTAATATTTATGTTATACTAGTTTTTGCCCGCGACTTCGTCCGCGTTAGTTTCGTCATTAGTAATATATGTATAGCTGACCAGGCGAACTCTATTCCATCTTAGAGGCCATAAATAATCAGGTTTTTCCCGTTTCAATCAAACAGAATGATTGACATATTAGTTAGTTGTCAAATCTAATGTCAAAAAAAGCGTTTGTATGGGAAATAGAAAAGGGCTGGTTTTTAGGATTTTCCCGGCAATTATTCCAATTTTTCTCACCTTTTATACCTTCCCTGAACCTCCACGAACATTTCAAGACTAAGATAAGACAAATCCGTTCAGCTGTTCTCGAGTTTTAGCGAGACTAAGGAACAGCAATCCATTTATATATATAGAAGAAGAAGATTAATTTTTATTTTGTCATATATGATCGTCAAATATCACGTCCTCAAATATTGATAGTAATTCACCAGTCACCCTGTATATGTACCTATATATTATACTAACAAATATACTTTGACCTCCGTAGACCGATCCTGGTGCTGAAGTGCGAGCAAGGGTTCGTGGGTCCGAAGGGCGTGCGTCTGGAGTGTAACAAGGCCAACTACGAGACTATACAGGTCATACGCGGACCTAAAGGAGCCGTGTACTTCAAGGGTCAGAACGGCAAGTACTGGCACGCGGACAGCGAGTCTGTGAGCTGCGACAGCGACTCCCCGCAGACCTTCTACCTGGAGCTGCGCGAGCCGACCCGCCTGGCCATCCGCTCGGGCTGCGGACACTACCTGGCCGCCGCCAAGAACGGGAACTTCCGCCTGGCCGGGCCCGAGCTGGCCACCGCCACGCACTGGGAGTACTAGACACACACCCCCTCACCCCTTGCGCGATATGTGGAGGAGTAATGCATTTTGATAGTATTTATTGTATATGGTAGCGTCTAGTCGCGCCTGGCTTCGTTTATCTATAAGCTAATCGTTAAGTTAGTTTAAGTGATACATCGCCTGGGACTCGGCCCAGCTCGCGCCGCTCCCGGGGACGTCCGCCCGACCTTTTAAACTGACCGGCGTTTTTTACTATTTTTACGAGTTTTTGTATTCGGGATGCGCGCGTCTAATGTACGGGAGCGACGACGATATAAATATGAACAAAGTATTGTGCTGATCCTGAATGAAATATTGTACGATATACGTCTCTGTAAACTATTAATGAATAAATTATAATCGAATGTACACGAGTGTTTCATTAGGATGTGGTGTGGTTTAAAGAAACGAGGCTCTGTTGAAAAACTTATATATTTTAATTAAATAGTTACATTAATCTTTACAGTTCTTCCCTAGCTAAGTGACATTGTAATTAGCGTCGATGCATCTTATTGGTCAAAAATATATTAAAATAATTTATCTACATAAACGATAGACGAAATTAATTTATAAAATAAATCCGCTACAAATATATCAGAAGCGAGACACGTCCATACAAGTGGTCCAGGATACATACTGCTCATACTGCTCAGTTCATGATGAACAAAAATATATAACCTCTGGTGTGACGACAATACATGTAACATGGAATAAACTAGTGTCTGTCCGCGACCCGCCCCCCCGTAAACATGCGAGGGAGAGTCGACTTATAAAACGAATGCAAATAATGCAATATTCAATAAAAGGTATAAGTATACAATAAATTGGTGTCGAGGCAAGGCGAGTATCGGATGTACGGGCTGCTGGCTGGCAGATATCGATACAAAAACTGATTTAACTTGTTATTAATGAGAGGAATTTGACTCTCGCCGACCGGGTTTACAAACGGACCCAGCCGACCTCTTACTGTTCACTCTCCACTTATATTATAGTAACATCACACCACGCCTCTCACCGACAGCAAAACGCGCTCGACCGTGTCTTTATGACAGTTCCAAATTCAAATTTCCCGCCGAAACGATACAAAGGACGAAGGTCGAGCGCGTTCAGCCGCGCGGCCACACACATGTTACCTAAGGCACGATATACACTCCGCTGACCGTAGCCGTCTCATGGACCGACCGGGCCGCTACAACACAAATATACAGGACAAGTTACTCGTTCGAAAGACATACAACACCCGGCTCTCTCATATAATATTTCTATGTCCAGTATACTTGCATTATAGAAACCCTCCAGTTAAAACTATTTTAATTCCTTTTTAAATTCCTAAACAGCCGTCACCGTAGGCGGGAGACGTTCGTCCACCTTATAATGATCTATTATTAATACAATGATTGATATTAGTTTCCACGTATCGTTCTAACGTCGGGACGAACGTCTCCCGCCGTCTCTACTGTACGTCCTACTCTAAGTCGCGGACGCGTTCAGAAACAACACATTTAATATAATACTGTATTTAGTTCCCGCAGCACCGCGCGCCACTGATGCGCGATGAATCATAATATATATAATATAGTGATATAATATTTCTGCACGCGTCTCTGTGATCAATAACTTCATCGATTGTTCTGTGTTCCGTCAATATAAAGTAATATTTGTAAGGTCGTGTTGTGAGCGCGGCGTCACGTGTGGAGGGGGACGTGTGACGTCATCTCCGGACCGCCCGCCGGGGACTGGGCTGGACAGACAGACAGACACACATTATTAGAATATATATAATATACATACCGTATGTTGTCAGCTAAGAAACAAAATGAAATATATGATACAAGTGATTTTTATTAATTTATTATCTGAACTATATAAATCTATAAAGTTTCTAAATAATAAATATATAACAGAAACGAAGTCCTCTTTCAGTATAATAGTTTCTATAGTTCTAAAGGTATTTATTATTGGTGTTTGTTATTCTTTACTGTCTTAGCTCACACCCTGTGATTCCTCACAAGGATTCGACAAACACTATATTGAACATAAACTGTCATTTTATATTTTAAGTAAAACAAGTACAGTCAATCTGGGTAACTTTGACAGTGGGACCATGAACTAGTTTTGATTATTTTTTCGCATGAAACCAACACTATTCATATATGTTTATTTTAGATTTGCGATTTTAAACAAGCTTCCTTAACGCACCTTTAAAAAAGTAAGTTGTGAAAGTAAAAATATGTCAAAAGTTTTTTCTGAATATAGCGCGCGAATTTAAGTTTACTATAGGGTGAATAACTTTTTGAATATTTAGTGATTTTGGTTGCTGATAAGGTAAGTGAGATGTTATACAGAGCCATTTGTGATTGTACTACCGCATTTTCATGAAAAATTTGCATATAATTACGTCTTATTTTGAAATTTCGTGCATAAATATGAAGATACGTATTTTGAACAGTATTTCAAGTATGTACATAGAAGCTGAAATGGTGGAGGAAGAGGTGATTGAAGAATATGTTGTTAAAGATGGAGTTTTGCAACATGCGCATCAAAATATGTTGAGTCCTCACCTGGAACAACAGTTATATTGAAATCAGAACACACACTGTTTCCAGGAAAAGTGACAAGTTTCACATTCCCGTATTTTACACTTGTTGTCATGAGTAGATCAACACAAGGTGGTTGGAAATGGCCAGATAAAAGAGAAATTATTAAAATTAAATATGATGATGTTGTATCTACAGTAGATATCAGTTAAATCAGTATAAAACAACCTGGGCTCTGCAAAATGTTTGTATGTTTTAATTATTTTTGCTTGTTTTCTTTTTAATTTGAATAAAAATGTTAAATTAAAGGGGTTTTTTAAGCATTTCTCATGGTGTTAAAAAATGTGTGTAACATTGCCAATTGTTGTAGACTGATTCTTCATATTTTTTTTAATATAAGACAAAACTGAATAATGGCCGTTTCATTGCGTCAAAAGCATCCATTAGTTAATAAATATATACACCAATGTTACACAGATTGATAAAAATAATATTTATTACTACTTTTTTATGCATGGCTCTGTGTGTCTCAAATTGAGATTTTATACTATATTGGTATGTTTTATAAACTTTCTGTGAATGTCTAGAAACGGAAAGTAATACGAGAGCACTGATAAAATGAAAAACACTCGAGTGATAGGTTGAGTTTTTTAAATATAGTATAAAATATCAACTTTATCTGTCAAAGTTACCCAGATTGACTGTATTACTGTAGCGGAATCATAATATATTTACATGTATATACAATGAACGAACCTGTAGCTAGGAGAGGAAGGGGTTGGGCGTGTGTCTCGTGGCCGGCGGCGACCACGGGGACTGCGAGCGGACCGGCGCCGGCGCCCACGGGTCCAGCGCGCCCACGCCGCCCACGGACATGGGCGCGCCCATGGGCTGCACGAGCGGCGCGGGCGCAGCCATCGCGAACGACGGCGGCGAGCTGAAGTTCAGCGCCGGGTTCAGACCCATCTGCTGCTGCTTGATCTCGTTGATGGACAGCTTGGCCTACACAATGAAGGATTCATTAAAATTTATTAAACAAAAACTACTTCAATTATTGGGATTAACCCAATAATAATATAGCATACGTGATCACAGGAGAGAAATAGTAAGATAGAAGTATTTCATGAGAGTTAAAATGGAACCATAATCTACTTACTACTACTAAGCAAGCAAATCAACTGTATGTATAGTCCATTTCAATAAAAATTGGCAATCTTGTAAACAAAGTAAATGACCACGATCACTCTGTTCTTATGTAGAATTGAATATCAGTCCTGATTATAATTACACCTCAATGAACCCACCAATGTTTTAGCAATCTTTTCATCTTTAAACAACTGTGTATATATGTTTATTTTATAAAATTATTTTGAACACAAAAATCATGTTTTACTCATCAAAGTCTATTTCGTCGTTGAAAAATTAGTAATGTACGTGATAAATATACAATGAACTAGTTTTTGTCCGCGACTTCCTTTATTTTACTTTCAAACTTAGAAATAAATAGCTGACTGGGGGAACTCTGTTTCTCCTTAAAGGCGGTACAGCCGTTCTTGAACTATACATTTTGTAACTGACACGACCCTAATTTTCAGATAAAGATTGTATTTATAATTATTTATAAAATAATATTGGGATGCAAACAACTTTTCTCACTCGTATTCCGCATCTCTAAACTCATTAAAAAAATCTCACTAATAAATAATTAATAAAATAAGAACAAATTGAGGTATTTTTTTATATAAATAACTAGAAAACCTGGCGAACTCCGTTTCGCCTCCAGAAGGCTTTGTTTTATGTAACATTTCGTTTGGTGATTAAAAGATGAAGAAATTTTTTTTCTGTTTTATATTTGAAAAGGAAAATTTTTATTTCATTTCACAACAGTAATGAATTTATTTCGATTACAAAAATGAAGTGTTATTTAGTTGAACTGCTCTAAGTAAATAAAAGTGAATCCAAAGTAGATACCGAATCGAAGCGTTATACGTGTCCGCAAATTATCCGTTGCATTGAAGTGCTCCTTTGTAAACCACATTTTTTGTTTTTTGGTCTAACGTTAACACAAATAAAGCGGATGGTTTCCCAACTCATGAACACACAAACTATAACTGCCCATGTGAAAAACAATGATTTCCTAAATTTATCCCGCAAATACTAAATTACATATCTGTCATTATACGTCAATTGCATAGCTGTCAATTGTATTTCGTTATTCCACGTTTTATAGTGACTGACGTTTCATGTCAAGTCCCACGGGAATGCTGTCGAACGGGATAAAAAGTATCCTATTGCAATTTCCTGGTTCTAAACTACCTCCCTGCCAATTTTCAGCTAAATCGGTTCAGCCGTTCTTGAGTTATAAGTGGAGTCACTAACACGACTTTCTTTTATATATATAGATAATTAAGATTGAGTTATCTTGAAGAGTGTTCACATCACTAGTGGCATAGATAAGTCTCTCAATACCAGCTGATCACATTTGTTTACAAGATTGTCAATTTCTATTGAAATGTACTATATAATATAATAGTTAGTGTACCGGGGGCGGAGGCCTAGGGTCGGGGGCGAAGGGGTTGGGCGCGGGGTCTGCGGGCGCGGGCTGTAAGAGGCGCTCCAGGTTGACCAGCGACGAGTTCTCTCCCAGGAAGGCGGAGGGAGACTTCTTTATGGCTCCCGTAGAAGGAGATGCTGGCACAGGAGTCAGGCCGTTACCTAGAGAAAGAGGTATGATGAGAAATATGTGACATACACACACACACACTCACAAACTTTCGCAATTATAATATTAGTAGGATTATAAGGAAACAAGTATAATAACATGAATGTATCATGTACATCTCTCTAGATATTCATGTTATTATACTTGTTTCCTTATAATCCTACTAATATTATAATTGCGAAAGTTTGTGAGTGTGTGTGTATGTTTGTTACTTCTTCACGCTCAAACGGTTGAACCGATTTTGATATAATTTTGTATACAGGAAGCTGACGTCCAGGAATAACACATAGGCTGCTTTACATCCCGGAAATTCGCGGGCAACACCGCGGAGCGCAGCTAGTTCATAATATATTTATAATCTTCTCCATGTGAGAAGAGGCCTTTGATTCGCGCAAATCGAGGTTTATGATTAAACACAGTCAAAAATTAATACACAAATATAAAAATCATTTTAATCAATCACTTTAATTCTAAGAACACTATATGTACAATACATAGGTACTCCTATTTTTTACGAAAAAATACATGTATTGTCTTTTGGGTAGCGTTTTGTTTACGTTCTTGTAAAATACGTTCATAACACCAAACACTGTTTTAATCGTTTGACACACGTTCAAGACACGGTCATTATTATTGTCTATACTCTGCAATGTAATAAGTGAAACCGCGTAAAACGGGGTCGCGTTAAGCGGGGTATTCCTGTAATAGATGAAGGGTCAACATTAAATAGTTTGGGAGACCAAAGTAAAATGGTTTTGAAATTACTATACATATTATATAAGTTATTGAAGAGCCACTTTCCATATCTTATTTGCATAAAAAGTACTCTAATAGTGAAGATGTTATTAATCAATAGTTTGGATAATACCAATGAGATCACCATTTGCATAGACATATTCAAATTATAGAAAATGCAGGAATACCCCGCTTAACGCGACCCCGTTTTACGCGGTTTCACTTATTACATTGCAGAGTATAGACAATAATGATGACCGTGTCTTGAACGTGTGTCAAACGATTAAAACAGTGTTTGGTGTTATCAAAGTATTTTACAAGAACGTAAACAAAACGCTACCCAAAAGACAATACATGTATTTTTTCGTAAAAAATAGGAGTACCTATGTATTGTATAGTGTTCTTATAATTAAAGTGATTGATTAAAATGATTTTTATATTTGTGTATTAAATTTTGACTGTGTTTAATCATAAACCTCGATATACGCGAATTTCAGTTAACGCGATTTTCTCCGGAACGTATCCCTCGCGTAAAGCGAGGTATTACTGTATATAGTATATAATGTATGTATACCTAGTCCGGTGAGGTCAAAGGGGTCATCGTTCTTGGTCCTCTGTGAGAGCGCGTCAAACTGCTCCAGTTCAGACGAGGGGGACGATAGCACCGATACAGGAGACTTGCTCTGAAATTAACAGAATATACATCATTATTATATACTAGTTTTTGCCCGCGACTTCGTCTACATTACTTTCAGAATTATAAATGTAGATCTGACTGAGTGAACTCCATTCCTCCTTAAAAACTTCTCCTCGGCACCGTAACGTAATTTATCAGAGTGAGAAAATTTTTTCGGTCACTTAACAGTAACTTAATAATAAAGTGCCACACAAAATATCAACAAAAAAAGAGCACACTACTTGGAATGTCACTATCACAAAGGATCACAAAGCAAAGAAATTTTTCGCGCAGGTAGTGGTAATCGTCATTCACAAAGATAGATTGATGCACTCATAGAATATTGGAATTAAGATCACATCACAATACCGTCAATCATAACACTTTTTTCTTTGTTCTGATTTTTTTATTTATATTGTTGTAGTTTACCTTTAAGCCATAAATCTCCGTGTTTTGAAGTGCGACAGAATAATTGACATATTAGTTAGTTGTCAAATCTAATGTCAAAAAACGTTTGTATGGAAAATAGAAAATGCTGTTTTTAGGGTTTTCCCGGAAATGATTAATTTTTTTCTGCTTTTAAACATTCCCTGAACCTCCACGAACATTTCAAGACTAATATAAGATAAATCTGTTCAGCCGTTCTCGAGTTTTAGTGAGATTAACGAACAGCAATTCATTTTTATATATATACAGGGTGACTGGTGACTTACTATCAATATTGAAGGAGAATACTCGGTACATGATTCTCATTCGAATTATGTAAAAAAAATAGGTACTTAATTTTTGACAAAATTTCCGTATAAATAAATAAAGTGTGGACGCGTGCGGCGACGTGCTGATACAACACCACGCCGCCGCGCGCGAGTGTGTGTGTGTGTATACCTAATCTGTAGGGTGTTCACACGATGCGTAATTAATTACATAACTTTTGGTTAACTTTACTTAGAAGTTTATTAATATTTATGTTATATTAATTTTTATTTTGTCATATATGATCGTCAAATATCACGTCCTCAAGTATCGATAGTAATTCACCAGTCACTCTGTATAGATAGAAGATAGATAGATATATGTTTTACACTATTCCCTTATTATTATTTCTACTAATTAACAGTAGATTCTATACTGTATGGTTTATAAATTCTTGTTCTAAATATAAAGTGTATAATATTGACAGTTGACACTGAATGAATATTTAAAATGTTTTCATGATTCACAAGAAACTATTCTAGATCACTAAGTAGTACGTACAGGAAGTAAGAAATGTATCATGACTTGTAATAATATATAATTAAAATAATAATATCTAATATAGTACCAACATCACTCAAGTATCAAATGAATCACACATTTAAATACTCTCATACAGTCCATTTGTCTACTTTAATTTTTAGTTCCAATAAAGTGATCAAACGAAGGATGTATTGCATTCTAACTAGGCACCATCAAATCGATACCTACCACGTAAGTTGTTGTATCTCCAAAACTGTAATTTTACAGTAGAGCATTTCAAAGATTCAAATTAAAACAAAATTTGCATTTATTGAGAAATCTTTTTAAAATTTCATATTTAAATTTAACAATAGTCTTCTTAACTACGTTAAAAGATATTTTAATTAATATGCCTATTTGCGGAGATATTGTTGTTATATTGATCATACGACATTTTACTCCGGAGTAAAGGCTAAAAAAGGCATTGTATCTGATACATATCACATTATACCGCGGCGCCCAGGTAGCATCACTTGTGGTATATGATAGTTACAACAGTATACGTTGAAAAACATAAGTCTTACTCTGTTGTATGTAACTCATACGCGGCGTGAGCGCGTGATTTTACCCAACTCGCGCCCCGCGTAAACAATTGTATAGGCATATACAACAGTGTATAGTCCGTTTAACTTAAGCTGAATTTTGCGTTTGTATGAGTGAAAGTAAAAGTAGAGTTAGACAAAAAACTTCTAGAATTCAATTCTATTATATTTTAAATAGATACATAACATAAGTGTTATAAAATAAGCAAAACTTGTAAAACGCCAGATAGAAATATTATTAATATTATGGAAGAAAAAAAATATTGATTAATAAAATTTTTGAAAATACTATACAAATTCTTATTCACTTGACATTGCGTTTTCAACATTTGATTTTGCTATCAGTACAAAAGATGAAGTGCGGAAGGTGCGGGGCAGAGTAAAAGCAGAATAAACTGGTTAAAATCGAGAAAAGAACGTTTCATTCAAAAATTTGACATCACACCTACACAACCCGTGTACACTCACACAAATGCAAATCTCAGCTTAAACCAAGCGCACTATAATGCGTTCGCGTTTGAAAATTATAACATTAAGCGTTTGACAAATCCTTTAAAAATAGTGTTTTTGTTGTTTTTTTTAACTTGAATGGATGTAATGATCCATTATAGGATATTTATCAGAATAAAAGCAACATAGCATTTTTATGGCATACAACAACTTACGTGGGAGGTATCGAAATATACAGGGTGACTGGTGACTTACTATCAATATTTAAGGAGCATACTCGGTACATGATTCTCATTCGAATTATGTAAAAAAAATAGGTACTTAATTTTTGACCAAATTTCCGTATAAATAAATAAAGTGTTGACACGTTCCAAGTGTTCAAGTGTGGACGCGTGCGGCGGCGTGCTGATACAACACTACGCCGCCGCCGCGTCTGTGTGAGTGTCAGTGTATACCTAATCTGTAGGGTGTTCATACGTAATTAATTAAATAACTTTTGGTTAACTTTACTTAGAAGTTTATTAATATTTATGTTATATTAATTTTTATTTTGTCATATATGATCGTCAAATATCACGTCCTCAAATATCGATAGCAATTCACCAGTCACCCTGTATAACACCTTATATATATTCATCAACGTCATACATCATCGCGGATAGTGCAAATCCGTATAACTATCACTGGACAATTCCGCGTATCTACATTGGAAGCAGATTATCAGAAGCAAGTTTGAGCTGAAACATTTTCTATATTAACGACTTTTAAAGTATTTTTTTCACAATTAGTAACAAATTGAATACTTAATAAAGAAAACATTTTATCTTAAACTTTCTTCTGATAATCTGCTTCCAATGAAGATATGCAGAATTATCCAATGGTAGTTATTAGTATAGATAAAAATAATACAACTAGCGCCATCTAGTGGTAAATATGTAAGACACATGTAGTAGTTTAGTTTCGTCTATGAATAAAACAGTTCGTTTTGGCGTAACAAGCAAGCACGTTGTTTTATTAGTAGTAACGCGGATTTGCACTATCCCTGGCGATATATATATATATATATATATATATATATATATATATATGTGTGTTGTACCTGTGCTAGAGGCGCCCAGGGGTCAGCGGGGCCCGGCGGGGCGGCGGCGGGGGCCCACGGGTCCCGGGCGGGGCTTGTTACTGATGACCACGCGTCTGGAGACGTCTCCTGGAACATTTACAAGTTAATAATGATTAATATAGTCGTTTAGATATATATCATAAGTAATAGCCGTTACTATACGTACATTATGCTGTAGTTATATGAGATATAATTCTGTTAGTGTATCAATAGCAAGTATTACAAGAAACTAAGTATAGTTCAGGCTGAGCAATAACTAATGTAATTCATAATAATTGATGAGTGTTCAGTTTAGCTTCATAGTAAATATTATCTAACGACACACAGTCACATGCACACAGACAGACATACAGATTTTGAATAGACTGTATATAATGCTCCGAGCTTGTTATATGACACATTTAAAACTAACATTAACGTTAGCACACCTCAAACCGACAGGTGAGTATACATACACAATACAATCACTTCACTCATTACATCATTATAACTGTGAATATACTCGAATGTTTGTTATGATTATCACACACAGCTCTCACCATTTGATCCACAGCGGGAGGGAAATCCAGACGCATGGGCTGGTCAGAAGATACTATCAGTTACATACATACAGACATATTATATAGTAATGTATGTACGTACCGGCCGGGGCGCGGGGAGAGGGGGCGAGGGAAGGCCCCAAGGGTCCAGCGGAGCCCCGGGGAGGGCTGCGGGCGCGGCGGGGGCCGCCGGGGACAGGTTCACATCCAACAAGTCCAATAGGTGCGACTGGGACTGAGAGTGCTCCTTCTTTTCAGGGGGCGGAGTCCTGGAACATTAAACATTACAATGAGGTTAACTTAATATATAGTTAAATTCAAACAAATTCCATCATAATTTCTATGTAATATAAACTTAATATTAGTTAATAACACATATTATAAGCGGCCAGCGAGGGTAGTACTAACGAACATGCATCTATATGAGTGAACGCACTGAATTACATTCTGTTGGAAGCACTCCATGCAACCGAGGAACCAGCAGTGAGGGGTTGGCAACACTCGGGGCAGCAGCTGGCTGAAGGCTCGGGACCTCAGGAGACTTTCCAGGCTGGGAGGGAGGGGGGGAGAATTAGGAGGAGGGAGGAGTAGTGTTAGTGTGATGGAGAAATGTTCATTAGGAAAACTGCCTTGGTTGCATTACAGACTTTATGCTGATAAATTTATATTTGTTGAGTTAATACTAATGTTTAAGATGACTGTTCTTTTTTTATAGTAGTAAATTACCAAATGTATATTATATTATATAATGTATATCATGATGTATAGTAACTATGATATTCTTTAATAGCATTCCATATTATTTCAATTGTTAATAAATGGGTTTCAGTTAATAGGAAATACAGGAAGGATTAGGATTCATATGTTTGGAGGTGGTGCAGGATTTTCCCGATCTTTTAGTTAAGAACTTCAATTGAGTTTTATGTGGTTATTATCAGTGAAAGCCAAACCTCATAGCAGGACCTTGGTTTGTTCGCAGTACATGCATGACATGACTGACTCTTAGTATACTACATGTATAATGGTTAACAGTCCAGTAGTCATTGACTGTTCATGAACAATGATCTGTATGTAGTCATGACAGTCTTGTGAGTGGTCCTGGTAATATGTGTTTAGTCTGTCAGTCTGTGGCCACCCACAGACTGTAGGACTAAACACATATTACCAGTCACAGACATGTCACTCTTGTAGGTGGTTATGTGAGTCTGTAAGTAGTCGTGTTACTCTGTGGGTAGTCCTGTTAGTCTGTATGTGGTCATGTCACTCTTGTAGGTGGTCATGTCACTCTTGTTGGTGGTCATGTCAGTCTGTGGGTGGTCATATCAGTTTATGGGTCGTGTCCATCTATGTGTAGTCATGTCACTCTTGTTTGTGGTCGTGTCAGTCCGTCCGTAGTAATGGTGTGTAATGTAGGTGACTGACTGGAAGTCGTTCTGCGACTGGCTGATGGCGAGCTGCAGCCGCACGTCGTCGGACCTCCTGCGCCGCTCCTCCCGCTCGGCCTCCTCGCGGGACATGGCCAGCGCCAGCTGTAGCTGCAGCTCCTCCTCGCCAGCCGTCAGCGGACGAGCCAGCTCGCTGTCCCGACCGGACCACTCGCTCGCCTCGCTCGACCTCAACTGGATATAATAATAATAATAATAAATCACTTTATTTCCAGAACCATATTCCAATTTTACAAACACTTATTATTTAATGAATTTACTACACTACAAATAGACAAATAAGAACTTAAAAACTAAAACAAAGACTTTAAATTAATATAATACACACGTAATGACATATGCAGAAGTATATTTTTCTAGACAGTGTTAGATCAAAATGTAGTCGTTAGTGAGTGATACATATTATAAACTAGCTTTTGCCTTTGACTTTGTCCGCGTTAGTTTCATAATTAGAACCGTAAAGCTGATCAGACGAACTGTTTTGATTTAGAAGCAATAAATAAACAGATTTTGGATTTTATTAGAATTTTTTTTCGTGGTTAAAACACTTCAACATACCACCCCACAAACTCCAGCCAAATCCGTACAGTATAAAAAATAGATATAAAATATACCTTTACATTACGTAATTTTTTGCGAACCACCTCTTTATAACGAATTTTGTCAACCCAATCCTTTATATTATAAAGTTGCCACCAATATATAATTCTTAATTTTATATTATTTAAGTCGCGTCATGTTTCGACTTTTTTGCTTTTGTTCGCAAAACAATCGTTGTTGTTTGATGGAAAGTAATGTAAACACTTCTGCTCGTCACTATTGTTAAAGATTTAAATTACAAAAATATTTTTTTACCATTTATAACAAATTTCAGACCAAACTAATTCAATTACAAATCTCAGTACAACTAATAACTTGATATAAAGAATATTTTATTGTTCCCTTCCGATTTGTTATATCTAGGTTGCACTGTCGTAAGTATCATTAAGAGGGTAAGTATCGCAAAGAGGGTTGATGTCAGGCAGGCGGGCGGTCGTAAAAACAATTAGCCGAAACTATTCACAACATAGCAGAATCTGGCTAAAGCTGGGTTTTGCCAGGTAGAAGAAGAAGTATCATCATACCGCGGGGTACGTAGGGCTGGTGGGTGTATCTAGGGCTCCGTCGCTACCGAAGGCGCTGGCGCTCTGCGCGAACCTCTGCTTGGCCTTGAGGGCGCGCGCTCGCTCGTTCTTTAGGCGCTCCTCATCTTTAAGAAGGTTCACCAGCTGCTTGGCCTTCTCCCGCACGTTTAAACCTGGAGAAGATTGAATATTAAGCATAAAAGTTTATATTATAATATTAAAGCCAAGAGACGTTAGCTTAGTTGGAAAAGCTATTCGGAGCGACTACAAGTCACAGGTTCAGTTCTTGCATATTTTCATCATACATTTTTTTGTTTTGTTATCGAAATATGAAACTACGAGAAATTCAAGTCCACACTTAGTCTTTAAACGAATGTAAGAAATGCCTTATAATATAACATTATTAATCAAATGTAAATTGTAATAAATACATATAATTACATTTAATTACTAAAATAATGTGAGTCTAGTTAAATGATAACGATGCTAACGTCTGTGTGCTACATATAATGACAAGACATTAACAACGTGGCGATGACGATCACGATGAAAACAGACGGACAGAAGTATTGAATGTGGATATATAAAATAAAAAACTGACCAAAATAAACACTTTGTACACATATGTATCACTAGTTTTCGCCCGCGACTTTATAAACTTGGCCATTTCAATTATGTTAACCACCGGGAGAGACCTATTATTGTCTGTTAACATTATTCTGATGTTGTAACTATATTATTGGATAGTTTCATCAAAAACCATTCAGCACATTTCTGTCTATCGTCTGTATAATATTACACTGGTGTGCATGCGTGTGTGCGTGTGTGTGTTTTCTTTTCCGAACCGGAGGTAGTGTCTCAAGGGACCATCAATAAGAAAGTGTAGTGCTTCTATAGTGAATAAAGTTATTTGAGTGTGTGTGCGTGTGTGTGTGTGTGGGAGGGGGTGTGTCTCACCTTGGTCCTTGCCCTCCTCCATGTACTGGAAGTCCTGCAGCGTGTGTATGGCGAAGATGTTCTCCTTGCACTGCATGGCGACCTTCTCGCTGCCCGTCTTGATGAGGTACTCCATGAGCACCAGCGCCTTGTACACGTGCCGCCAGTTCTTGCCGTGGTCGTTGAGCCTCTTCCATATCATCTGCATGATCTCCGTGAAGGCCATCACGTTGTACGTGAGGTCGGCGATCTCCGCCATCAGCGTGCTGGACGGGCCCCATGGGTCGTTCGATGTAGCCTCGCGCACTTTTACCTACCACCAACAATCATCATAATAATCATTCAGGGAACACATGTCTTACATTACTGAGATTGATTACAATTGAATATTAACTTTTGACTATCTTTGAATTATAACACCCCTTATACAAGTAAGAAGAATATCCTTTTCAAAATATATATTTTCAGTTTTGTATTTGAAGATAATTATGATGTTGTTATAAGAAGGTAGAGGAATATTGTTGAACAATTTATTTTAAGCCCCAAATTAAATACAGTAATACCCCGCTTAACGCGACCCCGTTTTGCGCGGTTTCACTATAAGGCGATTTTCAAAAATTTATTCAGGTTGGAACATTGCAGAGTATAGACAATAATGATGACCGTGTCTTGAACGTGTGTCAAACGATTAAAAACAGTGTTTGGTGTTGTCAAAGTATTTTACAAGAACGTAAACAAAACGCTACCCAAAAGACAATACATGTATTTTTTCGTAAAAATAGGAGTACCTATGTATTGTATAGTGTTTTTAGAATTAAAGTGATTGATTAAAATGATTTTTATATTTGTGTATTAAATTTTGACTGTGTTTAATCATAAACCTCGATATACGCGAATTTCAGTTAACGCGATTTTCTTCGAAACGTATCCCTCGCGTAAAGCGGGGTATTACTGTACTTCAATATATTATGTTATCCTGAGTCATATGATAGTACATCTAATATTAATAATATTTCTTGAATCAAGGTGCATCATTTGTTAATAACTTTTCCTATCTGTATTTCCCTGTAGGTCGCGATGTATTTCATCATCTATCCGTAATGTAGTCACAGACCTTGTGTTTTAAACGCTTCCTTTAGCCGCGGAAGTATTAAGGAAAATATATTTCCTTACTATCAAGAATATATTAAACTAGCTTTCCGCAGCTTCGCCCGCGTGGAGTTCGGTTACATCGCATTTCCAAGAGAACCTTTCAAAAGTCTGGCATAAAAACTATCCTATGTTCTTTCTTAAGGTCAACTCTATCTCTGTACCAAATTTCATTAAAATCAGTTCAGTGGTTTCGGCGTGTAAGCGAGACGGACAGAAAGACAGAGTTACTTAATTCGCATTTATAATATTAGTAGGGATTAATCATCAATACAAATCATATCTATTACTAATACATTAAAAATGCAACTGTTATTACAGAAGGACTTTGTTTTTCTTTATGTATATTTTTTATTTAGTTATCTTAATATACCTATATCTGTGATATTATCTAAACATTTCAGCTTAAAGTGAATCATTCACATAATATGTGTATATTTTATATGAATAACAATAAACATATGTAATATATGTGTTTAATACAAGTTTCCACCGTCACACTACACACGAAACTTCCCGTTTCCATTAACATTTAACCAACGTCAATACAATAACGGGCGAAGATTTCTGAATTTCAAACTATCGACTGCGTATAACGTGTGACATCAAACTTGTGCTAAGCATGTCATAAAACAAATCAATCATCGTTACATTCATTTTATCCAAGTCATTAACATATGTTATAAGTTATTAGTAATAAATTCTAGAAATATCAAGAAGTTTAGTCAATATGCATCTTAAATTAGTTTAATCTTATTGGTAAGTTCTCAATGACCTTACCTGAGCATCAGAGTAGTTGTGCGCGAGATTTTTAATATTTCTCCTTAGGCCCGCCACGTTTACTTGCATTTCGTCCCGAGACCGGGGCATCTGGAACACACGGGATACACGTAAACATATAGTATACTACTAGTTAAAACTTAAATATCTACTATCGACTAGTAACAACAAAAGAGCTAAGCTAAGAGCCATAGAGGAAGGGACATTGATGGGGATTGATATATATACAGGGTGACTGGTGAATTACTATCAATATTTAAGGAGCATACTCGGTACATGATTCTCATTCGAATTATGTTAAAAAAATAGGTACTTAATTTTTGACCAAATTTCCGTATAAATAAATAAAGTGTGTACACGTTCCAAGTGTTCCTAGTGTGGACGCGTGCGGCGGCGTGTATATATGTATATACATATCATTATCAGCCTATCAAGAGCCCACTGCTGAACATTGGAGTATTAATCACCACGCTTACTCAAGACGGGTTGGTGATTTCAAACTTATAATTAGAAATTATAAGTCCATGTTTCCTCACGATGTTTTCCTTCACCGTCTGACAGTGGTATCTAGATACTCTTAAGGTGGCACTTTACTTGACGTTGCATATTCACGTAGCGTATTTGTCTAAATATTTGTACGTAATCCAAATAGCGCAAACACGACATCCACACTTGCCAACAGCACGTCTTTACGCGTATTCGCTTATTTGTATGTCTTATTTGTGCAAATATGTAAATTTAAGACGAATAAATCCTCTACACATGGCCTTCTTTGGCCAAACACAACAAATTAACGCCAAGTGAAGTGTCACCTTTAGAAGGTACATACGTACAAATAATGTTGAATCAATAGAAAAATCATTCATAGAAAATATTATATGTCAAGGTGCTTTACTATGTTAAGGTGACCTGACGCCTAACTGAACGTGTTACGTAAATTTAATTAAGATTTTCCTCATGGATGAGATACCCAAAAATATTTATTATATGAATATGTTTTCAAGTCCACTAACAGAGCCTGTAACTGTCAACAATATCGTGATTAGTCGATACAGAGAGACCGAGTCAATGTGAACTAACACTTATCTTTTACATAGTAAGGTAGTATTGACCTGAAACAATTCAGGATCATTCAAAATCAAAGTTTTGTTTGACTAATGTATAATGTGTTAAAACGATTACGATTAGTGACCTACGTTGCTGCGTTTTCATTTTAAAGAAAGAAATTAGGATGAGGTCAGTGACCTCTGGCACACACGTACAGTAGAATTAAAATTATTATAAATTTTAATGAGAATTCGGTTTTTTTAAATATATAATCCCTATATCAAATCCTCTATTATTTTTTCTATAATCCAAGACACGTACGTAAGGCAGCGTGGATATAATTAGAGATGTTAATAACAAATCGATATTGAAGCCGCACTTGTGTCGCCGGGGTTTCACTTCACAGTCCGTTGGACATTAAATAGATTAGAGAGATTCCTTGAAACACTTTAGGGCTGTTTGATGTAATGTATACGTGGAGCTGGTGACGGGGAGTAGCCAGTAGGGACCGCCGCCGACAGACATACCTACACATGAAACTTGATGAGCTTATGTACACTTATATATTGTTTAAACTCTTTAAGAAACCGTATACATAAAAAACATGCTAATTTTTATATAAGAAATGGAATGAATTCTAAGACTTTCGCGAATATTCATTTAAATGAAACTATTATTATTCGGATTATACTACGCGTATATTATTATTTCTTAAACCTACATACTCCCGACGTTTCGGTTACTTTGCTGCAACCGTCATCACAGCAGTTAAAAATAATAAAATACGCATAAATATCCATAAATATTAGTTTCATTTATAATAAACTAGCTTTCCGCCCGCGTGGAGTTATATCTCGTTTCCAAGAGAACTTTTCAAAAGTCTGGAATAAAAACTATCCTATGTTCTTTCTTAAGGTCAACTCTGTCTCTGTACCAAATTTCATTAAAAATAGTTCAGTGGTTTAGGCGTGACAGCGTAACAGACAGACAGACAGAGTTACTTTCGCATTTATAATACTAGTAGGGATTTAAATCATTTGAACTATTTTTTGTGACAGCGCGGCGTGTCATTGCCGGGTCAGTGAAACGTCTGTCCTTGACTGATGCGGATCACCTTGACCTCGCTCCGGGGAAAACAGACAGTCGGTTAAAAGAGGATATGCAAATAAACAAAATCGATCGAAACAATAGCAGAATAGATCGGATGTAAACAAAAAATATAAATAAATCGAGTAGTGTCCTTAGAACCAGTTTTCATCGTTCACGTAAATACGTACAGTTTCAAGTATTTTAATCGTTTATCTTAGCACATATTAGTGTCTGTACGTGACTGACTAACATGGACCTGTCTTCAATTTAACGATGGAAGCTCCTACTAAGATATAATGTATACAAAAACTCTATGTGATATATATTTTGATAAAAAAATAAATAAAATTAAGCTTCTAAATACGCAAGGTATATAATATATTGTGGTTAATTAATACATAAATATAAAAAGTACTAAATTAATATTAAATATTTAAAAAAACTTACAAGAACGACATTTTGAGGAGTTATAAAATTACTCTTAATACACTGACACCACACTAACAAGTTGTATTTTAAAAGTAAGCTATATGTTTATGAGGCGACCACCCACCACGCTGGTTGTACTCCGAATGTCCCGGGTTTGAGTCCGAGGTAGGCGGTGAGTGACGGCAGCTCTAATCAAATATATAACGCGACCCTCTTAGCCAATTACGACAAAAAACTGATAAACTAGACGTTTTCACGCGACATCGCCCGCCTGTAACACTACCTAAAGTCTAAACCTTTTTTTTCTTGCCGAATTAGTGCTATATAAAGTCTAATATATGTTATATGAAATACGCAATATATTATAAATGTTATTATTGGCGCAACCAAATTTATTGCATGTAAACAACATCTTGATAGTGTTATCAATTTCAAACAATGAACGGTGATAGAGAAGGGATAGCAGAACGAAAAAAATAACAAAATAATCTGACTATATCCGACTGCAAGAAATGTATATATATACGTATATATTGTATATATGTATATAATTAGGAACTTTAAGGCATCTGTTCCAAGTGAACCCTTACGATACACATACAGTCAACCATATGTCACTGAGGACATATATTAGTAAGAACTACCCTGAATTTATAACAAACTAGTTTTTGCCCGCGTCTTCGTCCCGATTATTTCGGAATTAGTAATACATATATATGTATATATACAGATGACCGTGCGAACTCTATTCCGCCCTAGAGGACACAAATAACTAGATATTGAAATTTATATATATTTTTCTTTTTCAATTGAACAAAATTAAACATCCTATGTCCGTCTCCTGCTTCTAATCTATCTCTCCGCCAATTTTCATCCATATCCGTACAGCCGTTCTTGAGTTATAAATAGTGTAACTAACACGACTTTCTTTTATCTTCCTGGCAATTTCCCAGCTTTAGCCAGGGTCTGCCAAAGACTTTCTTTTATATATATGACAAAACACGACTTTCTTTTATATACATATATGACAAATAAGTTTTTTTTATTTGTAAGTTATAATTTAATTTTAAACATCGCAAACACAATTATAATTCCAATGTGATTTATATCTCGAGTGTGAATCGACTGTGACATCAGCAAGAGATGTGTGTTTGTATGAGAGGGTGTCGTAATATGAAAACAAAGCAAATAGAAAAAATAATAAAAATTATTATACATAGAAGATATTCGAAAAATATTCGTTTCATTTAAATGAATAAAACTCGCGAAAATCATAGATATCATTAAGGAATATAGATCTTTTTGTTATATAAAAATACCTCGTATAATATATTGTGCTTTAAATATTGATAGTAATTTTTCACAATCTGAAAGTTATCTTTCAATTTTTATTTTCACCTCAAACCGGCTCATTTAAAATAATTTTTAACTGTTCTTTCCAATAAATACTTAGAGTATTTTTCAATTGGGTTCAAAGAGAAACTATCTTTAAATATAAATATACAGAAATATCTTTAAATATAATAACATACATATATATAAATTTTCTATCGAATCCATATAAAAGTTTATATGTTATTCAGTAACAAACACGTATACATATATACGAAGTTGGACCGACGAAAAATAAACAAATTAATTCCGATATATATTTTTAAAGATCGCGTCTGTAAACACGCGTCTTCTCTTAAAATACAGTTATAGAAAGTAAACATTGCGATACAGTGATCAAGTCTTTGGCTACAACGTACGATTTTATTTCGATACTCGACCATATAAGAAGTATTTTCAATACTAACAATAGTTTAGATAGTATAGAATTAATATATTTGTGCGAGTTAAAATTAGAATATGAAGAAAGTACTCATTTGTTTACTCTGACGCTCTGAGACGTACAAACACCTCACCTATATGTACCGTTGTATGTACTATAATTAACTTTAAAATTGTTGAAGCAAAGTCATACGTTTACATAGTATAGAATATAGATCCTAGTACGGGATCCCTACTAAGGTGCAAGGTACCTTGCGGTAATGGTCCCTACTTTTCCGATGACCGTATTTGAATATAAACCGTAAGTCAGTAACACTTCGATTAAATTACATTCGTACAAAAACCATAAAGACTTGAACCATAGTCAAAGGCCACGGCCATAAGCTCATGTCGTATAAAATTAAAAATAATTACATAAGAAAGAACATTCTGGAATTCACCGTTAATTTTTCTTTACAACCGCTATATAAGTTTAATTTGATACAAAACTAATACGAACGAAATAACTGCACTAGAATCTTCATGAACGATATTTATTACGCTTATATATATCCAAAATAACTTTATTTTCCATACATATGTATTAACACTCATAATAATATAATCTACCTGATAACATTCTCCATATACACACGCAAATAATAATCGGCCACAAAACGACGGTTCAATGACACCACTACGATCTGTGTAGGAACTGTTTGACGCGGCTCGTAACAATTGACGAATGTATGAAAATTTTACGTAGAAAATACATATTAATGACTAGTTTTTGCCCGCCACTTCGTGTGCGTAAATTTCGGCATTATGTATAGCTGAACAGGTGAACTCTATTGCGCCCTGGAGGCCCTAAATATATTGGAGTTAATTAAGTTATTTTTTCTATTTCAATCAAACAGAATTGAATATCCTATGTCCGTCTCCTTGTACTAATCTAACTATATCAGTATCTCTCCACCAATTTTCAACCATATCCCTACAGCTGTTCTTGAGTTATAAATAGTGTAACTAACACGACATTCTTATATAAGTCTTAATTATTTCATCAAATAATTAATATATAATTATTAAAACACTTAAATATATTACATACAATCAAAGATAATGTTTAAAAGTCACTGATAAGAAAAGTAATCAGCACACAATCATTGTTTCAACTTAATGTTCTTTTAATAACAAAATATTTTTGTATTTATTATTAAATATTAAATATTTATTTTCCTAATTCTCAACTGCTTCTATATATAATTAGGTTTTTTAATATTTTCTTAAATTTTGAAAAAATACACAAAACCGTGGGATAGTCGATAGTCGAGATTAAATGATTATATTTCTATGACAATAACATCAATTAATGGAAAATACTATATATTGCTTAATTAGTGGATACTAAGATTTAAAATATATAAATTAAATACTTGAGTACATTAACAAAAGCATCAGTCTTAATGCAAAAGAATGTTGAAATAATGACGATTATCATTCAAAGATAATTGTATATATAAATAATTTAAATTTGTCTTTGTAATACAATAAATAGCTTATAACAATATAATGGGTGAGGAAATGTTGTGATGTCTCCATGGCCGTTATAACATTATGAATAAAAATGTTGCATACAGGAAAAGATACACTTCCTTCTCACCGAGGAACTACCTGATCATTGTAATAGAGTTTATATTATATTATATGCATATATATATTATTCACCTTTATCTAGAGATTTCATTTTGAAGGTGATAAAACATGTTTACTCATAAAATCCTTTGTATCGTACAGACAGAGGTTGTTACTCTAATTTTTATCAACGTAGACAAAGCTGTCTTAATGATAAATAAATATTGATATGTTCTTTAAATTCTTTGATTCAAGTACATTAATGTCTTGACGTAAAAAAAAATTCATTTCAAATTGTTTCAAATTTGTTCAAGGTGCATTTGAATTATATTTGAAATTAATTCATATAGATAATACATAAATTAAAATGATAACAAGTACTTGTACAAGAAACTGAAGACTCGGTCACAGTCACATGACAGGCTTTGTAATGTACATAATTTAACATTTATAACTGTTTTATGGATATAGTTAATGTATTTAAAATTATTTTTTGGAAATTATATATTTTTTTAATGTATTACAAATATAATAAGTCAATGCCCTTGAACAAAAAGTGAAACCAACATCAATATAACTACTTACACAATTTTAATATGACTTATGTAAAACACTCACACTTAAAGCACTGTTTACTCTGGAATAGCGATTTTTTCACAATTTTCTCCAACCAATCTAATTCACTGCAGCTATCAATTGTTGATAAACTTTATCGGGACAATGATTTTTAGTTTTCCCCTCGTGACGTCACTAACAACCAGCGAATACAAACAAATAGACTAAGCAGATAATCACGGCCTAAATTCAACTTCCTCACTCCTAACACGTCCACTGAGGACGAACTTTATTCCGTTAAAAACAACTATCACAAGACTGCGGCCGACCGACGAGGCGAAGTAACGCTTATCTGTCTCGAACAGCAAAAAATATAGTTAAAACACTCGGTGACAGGGAAGTTAACGCAACACTTACCAAATATATTCGATGGACCTACAAAATTTGATTCCCGAATTCAGACTTATGGAAATAAACATATATCACGCATTATATTATTATCACGATGCACGACACCAAAACAGTCGCTTTACTAAATAATTTTGTACAAATTCTATCTAAACAAAACACTTTTTGACGATTTGACAAAATCACCTTATTCATGACAAATCAACATGTCCTCCAACACGATATCCGGTCAAACTAGATTCATATTATGACATACAGAATTGTAGTTGTACATAGCGTATAATTATGAGGTTATTAAATTAATCTACCTTTATTTTTATAGTTTTCTGAATAAAATCGGGGATATTTTCCTTCTTGTGAACTATTAATTTGCGTTCCTTCTGTCGTCTCCCTTTTGCAAATCCTTCAGACTTAGCTTGAGTTATTGCAATATGATAAATTACCAGTTAATCGTATCATTAGTTAAAGAATATGATTAAAAGTAACTGTTGAATTTAGGACTTCAAAAGAAGAGTAAGATTTTTTTGAAACTATTTCTATCGTATTAGTTATTTGAAACTTTTCAAATGGAATTTTTAATAGTCTATATACCTAGAACTCATTGATACAATACTCTGAACATTCTTTTTCATATCATACTAGTACTCCTCGAAGAAAATATTATTATCAATAAAATCTAAACATATATATAATATATAACTTGATTTCGTTATTTTCTATATTTTACTTAAGGCTATTTATCAAATAGGTATATAAAACAGTTGCACCAAATGAATTGTGAATATTGGCATAAAATAATTAAGCTCTTATATTTACTTTATATTTAATATACTTTATAATTAAAATAGTTGTAATTTATTATAAGTAATATAAAAACGTAAAATAATTTTAACATTTTTATTTACTTATTTATATTAAAAAAAAATGTTTTTTGATTGGAGCTTATACATATGACACTGACAGAAAGTGGCAACTTAAATGTAGACGGTTATGAGTTAATGCTTTCTGTATTTACATTTTAGTTTGTTTCTAGTTAAGGTATTTTAGTACTATAATTATGAATTTCTCAAGCTTTTTTCAAAACACATCCCTCGTGAGCGATGAGGGATCAAAGAAACATGTAAAAACTTTTGTAAGTAATTATTTATCCAATCATTAGGTTATGATTGGGATATTTAAATTTATAAGAGTAAATTTTCAGGAATTACCCGACAAATGCTTCAAAAAAGGTATTGGTTGTGTTTGGAGACGCGGTAACCAGTTCACTGTATTCCCGAGAAGCCAAAGTGTTAACAAAACGACAGACGAATCTAGAAATAAAACAGATGATAAAATTCTGAATATTCGTCAAGAAGTCGTGCTCTTCACCCCGATCCTACGCAAGCTTGTTAACGAAGCCAATGGAACGTACCTGTCTGTTCAGAAAATATCTGAAACATCCAAAACAACAGACAACCAAGTCGACTTTCTCAAGCTTTCGCGCCAATACCGGTCGATTATACGCGTCTGTATCGAAAGTTTGCAAGAGGCGGCTAGCAAAGAGAAGGATGGCATCGACAAGAACACATATCTGTCTTATCTAACAATATTTTACTCAATAGAATGTATTTGGCACCTGTGTGAGATTTTGTATATTGATATAATTCCCGGTGAAGTTGTATTGCCTTTTCTGTTGGAATGGGTGCGTTTCCATTTCCCTTGCCACGAGCAGACTGCCGCACAGCTATTAGAGTCCTGTGAGGTTGGATCAGAAGACCATAAGGATTATTGGGATACAGTTATCGTGATGATTGTTCAAGGCAGGATCGATGTGGCACGAGCATTACTTAAGTTACACTCGGCGGCTGATTCTAATGAATTTAAACTTGTTGATAATTCACTAAGGAGTATGCCTGTTTATAGTGTAAGTATGCACATAAGGTTCAACCAGATAGCCTAAGTTTCTTGTATCTATAATTTTGATAAGAGTTGATGTTTTAATCTAAGTTTATTAATGTTTTAGGTGTATGGTGGAATATCAACCGGTGAGTTCACGATTTCTTGGAAGCATTGGCAGGCGGAGTGTCGATCCAAGTTGAACAGCAAAGTCCTGCAAGATCCTCAGTTGGAGCTGGTTATGAGAGTTAGTAGTACATATAGAGTTATTTTACACAAATTTTTCATTTAAAAGGAAATGTATTTTTGTTCTAAGTACTATGTCTTAGTTGATTTTGCCTCTCTCATACCTATAATAAATAGATCGTTAATTTCGCGTTTGTCTGTCGTAGCAGAGTGGCGCAGTGGAAGCGTGCTGGGCCCATAACCCAGAGGTCCGTGGATCGAAACCACGCTCTGCTAAACAACTTTTTTTAATTTTATTTTGTATTTTATACATTTTTTGTTTTTATTCCGTCATTTGGTGATTATATCATTATTTTTTATATTTCAATTCATTTATTATACATTTTATCAATTATGAGTTTTTTCTTACGATATAACGAGACGATAGTTTTACTTGAAATTATTTTCCTTTTTATTTACTGTATAAAGTTTGAGTGTTATCGATTAATTTATGAAACTACTAGCTGTTAGGTAGCTTAGGTAGATTTAGCCGTTTGAGCGTGAAGAAGTAACAAACATACACACACACACTCACAAACTTTCGCAATTATAATATTAGTAGGATAGGTATAAAGTTTGAGTGTTATCCATTTTATGAAAATATATTATTACGGCATCTTTATATTTCGCTGCTAATATATTTCTAAGTCATCTCCTTGATACAATCCCACAGCTGATGTGCGGCGAGAGGTCTGCCTTCGAGTGTGTGTCAGTCAAGTTCAGCTCGTGGTTCGACCTGGTGGGAGGCTGGGTGCTGTGGACCGCGCCCTGGACCCGCCGGGGCGAGCTCGGCGCGGCGGGGGCTGCGTGCGCCGCCTTCACACACACGCGGGGGCCTCTGGAACAGATTGTACGGGCCTTACTAGACGGTGATCTACATCAGGTACGGGAATTGTAAGCTTCGTGACGCTGATTAGGAATGAGCTTCAAAGAATTTAGGTATAAAGCATTTGGTCGAGTGTATGGAATTTATTTGGTTGTGTCAATCACGTATTATTCATTGAAAGCTTCATGACGCTGATTAGGAATGAGCTTGAGAATTCTGTATTATACTAACAACAATAAAAATAGAATGAAAGTATAAGCATTTCGTCAAATATATAGAAATATGCACTACATACGAAACACCCGGCAAATAGTTACAATTCCTTTACATAACAATTATTCCAAGACATCTGATGTGACGACTACCTTCTAACTGTTCCAGGTGATTCGTGAGATCCAGCAAATATCTGACAACAACTGGTTCGCTGCTCACCTCACAGACATGTTGTACCACTGTGGCAAGCTACGGATACTAGATATACATCAGGCCGAGTGAGATTATATACTAATATATAATTCTTCTGTGAGTGTGTATGTCGCTGAACTTCTCTCAAACGACTGGATCGATTTTGATGAAATTTTTTGGGTGTTCAAGGGGTCTGGGAATGGTTTAGATTCACAATTTTGTCCAATGGACAATGTTTTTTTAATTAAATTTTAATTTATTGTTAATTTATTGATACAAACGTTTTGTTGACATTAGATTTGACAACTAACTAATATGTCAATCATTCTGTCGCACTTCAAAACACGGAGATTTATTCATTATTGCTTTAATAGTTAAACTCTAAAAATATAAATAAAAAAACGTAACAGATATTTCTTGATTATAGGGCGATACGAAGTTCGCCGGGTCTTCTAGTACTAATATACAGGGTGACTGGTGAATTACTATCGATATTTGAGGACGTGATATTTGACGATCATATATGACAAAATAAAAATTAATATAACATAAATATTAATAAACTTCTAAGTAAAGTTAACCAAAAGTTATGTAATTAATTACGCATCGTATGAACACCCTACAGATTAGGTATACACACACACACACACTCACACAGACGCGGCGGCGGCGTAGTGTTGTATCAGCACGCCGCCGCACGCGTCCACACTAGGAACACTTGGAACGTGTACACACTTTATTTATTTATACGGAAATTTGGTCAAGAATTAAGTACCTATTTTTTTTACATAATTCGAATGAGAATCATGTACCGAGTATGCTCCTTAAATATTGATAGTAATTCACCAGTCACCCTGTATATTAAGAAGTATGATGGATACATGTTCATACTAATATTATAAAGCTGAAGAGTTTGTTTGTTTGTTTGTTTGTTTGTTTGAAAGCGCTAATCTCCGAAACTGCTGGTTCGAATTGAATAATTCTTTTTGTGTTGGATAGTCCAGTTATTGAGGAAGGCTGTGGGCTATATAACATCACGCTACGACCAATAGGAGCAAAGATATAGTGGTAAATGTGTAAAAAACGGGAGAAAATATTTCATCTTTGAAGCCTTCCGTTGCATGCGCCGTGAAAACGGTTCAAGATACACAAAAAATATGTATTAAAGAATAATAGCTCTTTTAATGATCTAAAAAACAGTCCGCGACAGTATATGTCTATCTTTTAAGATTAACTCACAAAAACCGTATTTATGGCACCTAATTTGGTCGAAATAATTTGTTTAAGTTGTATCAAGTATCAACTAATATTAATCTTTATTCAAATAAATAAATAAATAAATATGTTGTTGGTTAAGAGTACTTCATTGTGAAAAAAAAACATAGGTTTTATCCTGAAAATTCTACGGGAACTTGACCATTCCGAAAACCCCGCAAGAACGGGATAGTTCCCGTGTGGGAAGAACCAAAAATCTGCCGGAAGTCACTATTCCACGCGGACGTAGTCGCGGTAAAAGCTAGTATTAAATATGATGAATAGATCTCGACGAAACTTTCAAATAATATAGCTCAGAGTTTGGAATATGATTAAGGCTATTATAATTAATTTAGAGTATTTTCCGAGAGAATACAAAATAACTGTTGGAAGTTGTCTGATATAGACGACGGATGGCGGTAACAGTCAGTTAATATAAGTTGTATGTAAAGGGCATGTTATATATTGCTTTCGGAAAACAATACCGAAGACCACAATGACCAAGTTTCTGATTAAATCTAGTTATTTATACATGTATTAGATCAACACTGTAGTTATTTATTGAGAAAATTCGGTTAATATATGCGTTAACATTATATACATATGCGCCACAACTAAATGAAAATCACACATAAAGCAACAAGTATAGTGCGTTTGATTTAAGCTGAGCTTTGCATTTGTGTGAGTGCACACGGATAGTGTAGGTGTGATGTCAAATTCTTGAATGCATCGTTCTATTCTAGTTTTTAACCGGTTTATTCTGCTTTTACTTCGCCCCGCACCTTCCTCACTTCACCCTTTGTACTGGTAGCAACGTCAAATGTTTGAAAACGCAATGTCAAGTGAAGAATTTGTATAGTTTTTTTTAAATTTTTAATAATTATATTTTTTTTCTCATAATATTCATAATATTTCCATCTGGCCTTTTACAGGTTTTGCTTATTTTATAGCACTTATGTTATGTATCTATTTAGAATATAATAAAATTTAATTCTAAATGTTTTTCATCTAACTCTATTTTTACTTTCACTCACACAAATGCAAAGCTCAGCTTAAGTCTAACGGACTATATAATGATTTACAATATTGACATTGCAAAGAATTAAGTCAGAAATTCAATGTTAAATACGCTTACTGAAATCATTTCAAGTATTACAACAAAAGGTCATAATTATTTCCAGTGTGACGTCACGACTTCGAGACAGTTTGATTCTGGAGTACGGGTCTCTACTGATGGAGCATAAGTCCTTATGGTCCGTGGGTCTTTCGTACCTGTGTGGGACCCCCGAGGGTGTGAGGAGGGCCGAGCTGATGCTGGAGAGGATGCCCATACAGACGGAGGCCAAGGCTATGAGAGTGGCTGCTGAGGCCAAGAAGTATGGATTACTGGGAGTCGGTTAGTATAACAGAACTCAAACTTAAATAACTTTATTCAATATAGAAGCATTACACTTTCTTATTGATGGTCACTTGAGACACTACCACCGGTTCGAAAAAAATACCCTGACCTGAGAAGAACCGGCGAAAGAAACTCAGCGGGTTTTTTTTATTTTGAACTCAGTCAGGGTTGGTTACAATTAATATCATCTGTTAATTATACAGGGTGGCAACCAGAGGTTCCAGGAAAACTACGAAACTTATTTATATGTGTATTAAAATACGAATTACATAATAAAACTTATAACCTATAGCTAAGACTACATGATTGCCCCGATGTTAGGATGACAATGATATTCTATTGCTTGTATGTTTTAAAGAATCTTCTAGTTCACACGGCTTTGTGTTCGTTCCGCAGAGTCAGCGGCGTCACTCGTTATATGATATTTTATCGATACAAAGATGTCTCCCAGCGATGTTCATTTTTTTTTCTTCATATGTAGCGCGTGCGTAACACGCTGTTGATTCGAATTGTTGAATATTATTATGAATTATATATCTTGGATTAGTATCGAAAACGTGGTGTTTAAAAAGTATGACCGACATGCACTCTCGCCTCTATTTATACCAACCAACACTCATTGTTGTTACTACACTTGCACAGGTCGCTACGCTACTTATGCAAGTGACACCTGATAATTCAACTACCTTTAATTATTAGTTATTCAAATAACAGTAATTTCGTCGATATATACATATTGTATAATTCTATTACCTTAATGTAACCTCCAGTATAGCATGGACATAATAAAAGCAAGTTAACAAAATTAAGGAATGTATACTATAAATAAATAATTTATTATAATAGTATTATAATAAATTGCCGTCGACTTTAAAATCTGTAAACTCATTTAATGTATTCAAAATTAAACTATCGGAATATATATTATACAAAACTATCCACTTGTAAATTGAATGCATTGAATGAGTAAAACAACTCGTTATGTAATTATATCTTGAGAACGACATTTTATATTGCTTGAATTTTTGTTTCCATGTAAGTGACTTTGTGTCTTTTTGGAAAATAAAGATCTCTAAACCTATATTCTTTACCTGTATCCAGTTCAATCAGTAAGTGCCTGTATGAGCACGCGGCACTTATCAGGCGGGGCTGAGAGGACGGGCGGAGCCCTAGCGTGGGGGGCGAGGGCTCGCAGTGGGCCCCAATGCTCCCGGGCGGCACATGCAGCACTACGAGCACATTGTGCCGGTTTGCCGCTACCAGCTGCTGATCTGCTGCTAACTGCTGGACCTGCACTGCTGGTAGATGATACACTGCTGCTACTCGGTATGTTTATACATTGATTGTCATATATACTGTCTTGCAAACGCAATCCTCTAACCCTTGGTAGTCTGGAAGAAATGGCTAATAAGCAATTCGGCCGCCTTTTGTTTCACCATTAGTTTTTAGTTTTTTTTTTTTTGTAATTGTTTGTTTTGTAATTGTGGTGTATGAAAAAGAGTTAAATAAATAAATAAATATATATAATAATAATATATGGGACCTATGTATGGCAAATGTAGTAATTTAGCATTTTTCTTTTGCTTTAAACACTTAATACTGTATTCTACAACATACATTAAAAAAATGTGTTATTGTTAGTGGAAAGACTTAGATTTTATTGTAGTTAAAACGCATAAGTAACCCACTTTTTAACATATGAGGGCTTTTACAAAAAAGTTTATCAAGCTTCAATAATGTACATGTCATAGTTGCTGTGCAAAGTTTCAAAAGCATCAGTTGTTGTATGTACAAGATACATTGAAATTAGACTTAAAATGCCTCTACTGAAAAATTGTCATTTTATACATCGGAGCCACCAATATACCTACTCTATATATTTCATACCAATAACTTGTTATATGTATGTCTCAGACTACTGTAACATTTCTTGTTGTACCTTTGTGGTATTTTTATTTAAACATTAACATGTTTCTTTCAGGCAAGTACTGTGATTTCCACAGACTATATAAGAGCAGAGAGTTCAGAAAAGCGGCAAAATTACTTGTATCACTCATCACATCAAATATAGCTCCAGAATAGTAAGTATTCATTATGAATGTAGCGTCTACGCTAAATTCTAAAACATAATATTGATTCAATCAGTTTCATACTAATGAAATGAGTATTTCATAAACAAAATTCAAAATAATTGATAATCGCACTAGTTAGTAAAAACCTGTTAATATACATAATAGAACTGCTATGCCTAGTGTACACAATACAACAGACAGTTAAATAGGTACTGCATACACTACAGGCTTCACATAAAATAGTAAAAACTACGTTATTATCCTCTTACTTACATACCTTAACCAGAGTATCACTCAATGAGTTTCTGCACAATTTAATTTTACGATTCGTGATTTTTTTAATAATAAATAAAAGCGCCGTCTAGCGAAAACAAACAGAAACATTATTGTCCACCTTCGTTTTTAGCAATGTAAGTAAATTTATTAAACCATTTATTACAGAAATTGAATTAAAGAGATCCTAATGAAGACCATTCCTATACTACAAACAACATTGAGTAACGGTCACGACACAGAATTTTACAGAAAAACAAAATATAATTTAGTTCAAATTACTTATATATATTTTATATTTAATTTCAGTTTCTGGTCCACCCTCCTCCTGGACACACTCCCGCTCCTAGAGACAGAGGAACCGGTCATATCATCAGAAGACACTTATGATATAATGTTATGTCTAGAACTACGGTCTACTTGCCTCAGTAAAGAGAAGGCGGACTTATTGAGACTGGCCCTAGCACGGAATCTGGCTAGAACAGTCCTTGTAGATGTTGGAGATGAATAGATTTGTAAATACCTCACTTGATTTCTTATTTACCCTTTTATATATAATCTGGGATAGTGCAAATCCACGTAACTATCGTTGGAAAATTCCGTATATCTACATTTGAAGCAGATTATTAGACATAAGTTTGAGCTGAAATATTTTCTATATTAACGACTTGTAAGATAATATTTTCACTATTAGTAATAAATTAAACACTAAACAATTACTAATTGTTATAAAATTACCTTAAAATTCTTTAATTAATAAGATATTTCAGCCTAAACTTTCTTCCAATAATCTGCTTCCAATGTATAGATACTCGGAATTATCCAATGTTAGTTACGCGGATTTGCCCTATCCCCCACGATATGTAATTAAGATGCTGGAATGGTCGAGTCTTGATTAATTTGATACAATTTAATTTATTTAAGTTAATATTGAATGTAATATGGTGAATGTCTTGTTACTAAACACAATTCTTCCATTAGTCATTTGTTTTGATAATAATTTTTATTACGCATAATTTGATATTCCCAGAAAATTAACACAATGAAACTGTAATATTTCTGAAGTTTAGGATATAGGAAACATATATTTTTAAGTTTTTTCAATTTCAATTGTAAAATCACTTATTTTATGTTTATTTAGTACAATGTGAACAAAATAAGTTTTTGAATCCTGCTTGTGGTGTGAAGAGTCCAATCAGTAACTTAACTGCCAAATTGTAATAATGATCAAAACTGTTTTTAGGTTTAAGACTATTAATAAAGATTTTTGTAAGTCTAAGAGTGTGGTTATTCCCTTATTTAAAATATTCCTAATTAACAAAGTATTGGTAAGTTAATGATTTTTAGTTACTTTATATTTTATTTACAGTTCAAATAGAATGAATAAAAAAATCTACTGTCTCAAGTGTGAAATATTTTGAATCATGTTTAATGAGTGAAGAGAATCTTTATGAGTAATCTTTATGAGTTAAGTTAAATCCAAAGGGATGCAAAATAAAATAACATTAATTAATTATAAGTTTAATGTTCTTAAATTATAATAAATATTAGCCAAAGTTCTATAAAGATAAATAATATAAAGAAAGGTTGTATCAAACAAGCAAGAAAAGAAATGTTATTTTTATTAAACTTAAATCTATGAAGACAATTTGAACTTTTGTCTAAAACATGTTATAAGAAATTGATAATTTACAAATGAGATTTTTTAACGGGTCAAACCCATTTTAAAATCTTACTCTTAAGAATCAGGGGAACTAAATAGAAGAGTTAAATCTAAACTTCTAATATCACAATAATTAACACAAATGATAAAGGAACAAAAAAGAGTACTTAATTAGAAGAATTATTCTTTTCTCTAGAAGCGTAAAATGACTCCATTGATTTAAGTTCTCGAATATCATAATTTGATATTGTGTCTAAATCTTTGTAATGAAATTTCCCGTAGAAGAGTTTGTTATTCAACATATAAGGAAACCACAGTCTGTCGTCGGGCCACATATCATCGAAAGGGATGTTGTCGTACGTAAACCATTTCGGCGCCATTTCATCTGTTTCACTTGGGGTTCCATAATAAACAACTCCGGAGAAAACTCGAACGTCCATCATAACTGGATCACCTTCGAAAGTAAAATCTAATTGTCCGACACTCTTTAAATCATCTTTCTTAACAGTTACACAGCATTCTTCTTTCATTTCTCTTATCGCAGCCTCTATAACCGATTCGTCTTGTTCCACTTTGCCGCCAAAACCATTCCATTTGTTAATCCCGAAACCACGTTTTTTCAATCCTAATAAAATCTTCTTTTCATTTCGCAAAAAGACAAGAGTATAAACCTTCTTTAAGACCATTTTTTAAAACTGCTTTGCTTAATATTAAAAACTATGAATGAAATTTCTTAGCCGTCAAAGATTAGATGAACTATGAAAAAACTTATTCCATCGATAGCTTTAATTGAGATTCAAAATAATAACTGGACTTGAAAATGTATTCTTAAAGTTAAAAGTACAAAATATAAACATTAAATTCAAACACTCGTTAGCTTACATGACGTTCGATCAAATTCAAACACCAATGACAGATAGTAGGTAATGACAAAGTATACGGTGCATTCTCGGATGTCCTTTTAAATATGTGAACAATTTATAGGTATTCCTATATTTTGTATGAATGTTCTAACAATTTTGCCTTAATTTTGTAAAAGTTTAAATACAATGTGAGGGTTTTTATATAGTACATATTCTAAATTGTTTCTATCATAGATATAGTTTTACTGAATTTGGTTACTTCTTTTAGTATTCAGTGAACATATAGATTTTGATCGTCTTTATTTTTGTGATACTTGATAGGGCTCTGGAATTTTTATATTTTTAGGGTAGATTACTATAGTAAAATTTATATAAGAGTTGGATTTTTAAATGTTATTTAATTTTCGTGTGACTTATCATTGCCAGTTTAAGAAAACTAAACTGATTACCTATAGTTGAGATAATCGTGTAATATTACGGCTACCACAAACTACTACTTCAATTTATTATTTATGTTTAATATCTAGAATGCAATTGGGGCACATTACCATATTAACAGATTCTTGGCTCTCCAGTTTCATTTCATGTAATTGAAATCGCACGTCCAGTATGTAATTGCTATGCGGTCAAGACATTCCAATCTAACGGTTGAGAATTAGTACAAGTAAATTGGTGAATTAAAACTGTTATTAGATTAAATTGTCTAGACTACTTAAATTAAGTTCTTTTATAATTTAGAAGCAGTCCAGAATGTCTTTTTTGTTAAAGAAAGTGTATTAAATTAATAAGTGTAAAAAATTATTTGATTATGTTTGTCAGTACACAATTATCAAAAATTACTGTCATGAATGCTAATTCTTATTATCTTATCTAATTTCTGCCTGAGGTTATCGATCGATGGAAATAATTTGAATGTGTTTACTTGAATTACAATAATTTCGATAATAATTTAATAAATACTATTTTCTTATTCAACCATAAGTTCTTCTTTACAAATGTTCTGAATTGTGTAAAGGTTGTATTTTTATATATATCTTTTATTTATATAATAAATCTGCGCCTAGTAAGCATATTTTTATATATTGGTTTTATTTGCCATGCTTCGTATGAGGTTTGTAAAAGGTGCACGCCATTAGATCCAATCATTTTAGAGAGTTTATTTTTAACTTTCTGTATTTATTTACATTTTGAGAGTTATTTAAAAATTCTAATGACATTGAATTGAGTCGACTTGAAAGAAAGAGTAAGAACTACATAATAATGAGGAACAGGGCTTGAGCAAATCTTTTAATCATTGGAGTGGACTCTTTCTTAATTTTGAATTCAAGAATTTTCACAAGTCTGATGTATAAATTTGGTTGAGTTGGTTACATTTACGTGTATGTCTAGTTACTTTTTGTTTCCATTTATTAAACAATTTAAATACAAACATTCTCATTGTTTTTCTTATGAACTCTGGAAAAATTATACTCTGAAACAATATAGTTGAACTGGTTTTTTACAGAAGCAATTTTATAACCAAATGTAAAAAATTTAAACTTTGTGGGAACGATTATGAAAAGTTACGATTGGATTGTTGGTTGTTTACTGTTTTGTTTATTTGGTTTATTTATAATTAACATACATTACTTTAATGTGGTTATTGTATTTATTGAGCAACAGAAGTAAACAATATTAGTTTCAATTTAATTTATTATATTTCTAGCGATGACGAGTATAAGTCCATGTGTGAATGCTACGTCACCGGCGGGAGCTGCTTTCACTGCTTTAATATCTTACTTATCGACCCTTCAATGTCTCATCACGGAGCCATGGCCGGAAGATCACAGGCATCGCGTAAAAGGTAATTCGTAAAGTAATACATATGATACGTAATTTTTAAACAAGAACAATAATAATGAGATTTATTTGCGGGAGTATTATTTTAAATGAAACTGATATCTTCGGATTACTATGCTTTATTTTATTATTTTTAAAACTATTACTCCCGACGTTTCGGTTGCTTTGCAACAACCGTGATCAAGATGACAGAGAATTAAAAGAACAGTAATATTATGTTTATTTATGAATACTGTTGTAGACGGCGATCAATTCGATTTCATCATTATTGGTTCTGGGACAGCGGGATCAATCTTAGCGAATCGTCTGACAAAAGCTGATGATTGGAAGGTTCTACTCATTGAGGCCGGCGATGATCCGCCTTTGGAGAGTATCGTGAGAAACTTTATAGTTAATAGTTAAAATAACTTTAATAATTTTTGGTATAAAAATGCTTTATATACTATTCAGATTCCCAATTTCTCCGGAGCGACACATAGAAGTGACCAGGTGTGGCAATATTATACAGAGAGAGATGAAATGGTGAATAGGGGCTGCGGTGAAGAACGGTCGTTCTGGCCTCGTGGGAAGATGTTGGGTGGTACGGGCTCCATCAATGGGATGCTCCACATGACTGGCAGCCCCGGGGACTATGAACCATGGAACGTCGATGACGGTTGGGACTATCACACCATAAAGAAATACTTTAGGAAGAGTGAAAAAATTATCGATCCCTATATTCTCAATAATCCAGAACTTCTAAATAATCACGGCACGGATGGCGAGTTTGTAGTTGATCAGTTGAATTTCACGCATACCGATATAGCTGATAAACTGACCGAGGCTTATTTGGAAATGGGTCTGGATTACTTGGATGACTTAAATGGACCAACTCAGATGGGTGTAGGTAAGATAAGGGGCGGGCATCACAAAGGGAAAAGAGTGAGCACTGCAACTGCTTTTTTAAACACAATCAAAGAACGTAAAAATTTATACATTCTCAAAAATACATTCGCTACCAAAATTCTTTTCGAAGACACTAAAGCTATTGGAGTAAAGGTTTCTTTGCCAGACAAGAAAACAGCACAGTATTATACAACAAAAGAGATAATTGTGAGTGCTGGAACAATAAACACTCCAGTTTTACTTATGTCGTCTGGTGTAGGACCAAAAGAACATTTGGAGAGTTTGAATATCGAAGTTAATTCTGACTTACCAGTCGGCAGAAATCTGCAGGATCATGTGAGAATTCCAATACCAGTCACAATTAATACTGGAGCGAAGGAAAAACCTCAAGATTACTGGCATAAAGCTACACTGCAATACTTACTCGATCAGTCAGGTCCACACTCAACTAATTATGACCAACCTAATATTAATGCTTTTCTATCAGTTACGGATCATAAACAACTCCCGGACATACAAATCGATCATAATTATTTTGTTCCAAATACTTCCTACGTATACTCTATGTGTAAAAATGTCCTGAATTACAAGGATGAAATTTGCGAACAATTTGCCAAAATGAACGCTGAGAGTGAAATGATAATATTTTTTGTATCTCTATGCCGACCATTTTCAAAGGGTAACATTTTATTGCGTTCAAACAATCCTTTCGACCATCCACGAATATACCCAAAATATTTTAGTGATCGACGAGATATGGATACATTCATAAAGGGCTTAAAAAAAGTTACGGAAATTGTGAACACGGAAGCATTAAGAAACGCAGACGCGAAGGTCAAAAGAATCTATTATAAAGACTGTGATGATTTTAAATTTAAATCTGATGATTATTGGGAGTGTATGGCGAGGACTTTAACGTACAATGTATATCATCCTGTGGGTACTTCGAAGATGGGCAAGCCTGGAGATCATACCAGTGTAGTGGACAGCAGGTTGAGGGTGTTAGGAGTGAAAAACTTGAGAGTGGTCGACGCTAGTATAATGCCAACTATAACTAGCGTTAATACTAACGCTCCGACCATGATGATCGCGGAGAGGGCGTCTGCATTCATAAAACTGGAATATAAAAGCAAATATGCGAATGACGAGCTATAAATTTATTATCTTTAATTTTGTTCGTTTTCATAATTTTAACTTATTTAAATATAATCAGAAATGCAATTAAGGTTTTTTATTTATGTAAAATGTTACAGTTATGTCAAATTCGGAAGCTGAGAGATTTATATGATCTTGGGACAATATTTGGACAAAATTAAAAATAGCTATATCGGTATTAATAAAAAAGAAGCATTTTAGAGGATGCGGAATATATTTTTCTTGCTAAGTGTTAAATTTAAGAATTAAAGAATGAAAATTTGTTACCTAGTTAACTAAAATTTGTTATTAATCAAAATAATCCACGACGTTTATTCTAAGTTTTGTTTGTTCTGGTCACGAAACTCATTGGTCGTTGACACTTCATTTACCTAATACGTCCCGCTATTAATGTCACCATTTGTCAAAATCTAAATATCATATGTTCATCAAAAAATGCCTGCTGTTTTTATTTTTTGATATATTGGTCACCGAAGTGTTGGCTTCCCTCATCATAGTAGAGAAAGGTGTTATCCCGTTAGAGAGAAATTCCGTTGCCATACAGTTATATATTGATATTGAAAATAATAATCTTGCGGGTGTGTGTAGATATCATACCAGGCTGAAGAAATGTTTACTTGATTCGTGTAAAGAGAACTGTGAAGTGCCGATTGATGCAAGTGAAACAATAAGTAAGATTAGGAATAGAAATCGAAAAACATTAATATATGTGTTTCCGACGCTGTTCTTACACGATCTGATTGGGTCTTGTGATATAGAACTAGCATACCGCTGTCCCGACAAAAATGAGGAGTTGGAAATTAATATACCATTTGATACAAGGGTCAATGGCAAATCATCGTTTCTGCTGGAGAAATATGTAGGTAGCGATAAGAAGTATGTCTGTGAAACAATAGACCAGAACTCTTTGAACGAATGCTTGCCTGTGGACTGCGATGTTAAATACTGTGGCGCAAGACCAATCTATGACGCAGACTTTAAAAGATGCATCGCAGCAGCGACATGCGTTGGTATTATGGAAAATGATTTACCCCAAACAGTTTACGAACCTGACCTAAATATTTGTACTGATTATTCACCATTAACAAATCAGCATATCTACGCTATAAGCAGTGGTTTAGGAACAGTTACACAATCACCCAAGAGTGACGACGTTGTTGTAAAATTAAAATCCAATTGCTCAACCATATCCCAGAACGTATTTCTATTGAGGGATCTTTTAAATGGAAAATTCTGTCCATGTGATGACGGAGCCAGAATAGATTTCGGTGATGATTGCATAAATGCTGTTTTCAGTATTGTTTTATGTATTTTGAGCGTGTGTGCCGTCATTTTGTCGATTGTGTGTTGTATCAACAGCACCGTGTGGGTTCACAGACAATGGATGGATGGCAAGGTGAAGGAAGTCATGCTGAAGGTTAAAAGTAAATTCAAGAGATCAGAGAAATACAAGGAGTTCCGAAGGACACGGGAGATACGAAACGCCTTGCTGAAAGAAGTGGTCGTCACAGATATACCTCTACAGCTCCGTGAGAGTGTTCTGAATATGTGTGACAATATGAACGAAAACATTGGAAAGAAAAGAAGGTACCGTCGCTCGGACATAGGTAGCCAGATAAGTTTACAGACAGGTGAAAATGCTCCGTTAAAATATCCAGAAGCCGAAAATTCAGATTAACATTAGATATTTTGTCGAATTATATATATGTATATGTTCATTAAATATATATTTTAATCCTAGTTTTTACGTATTCAAACAGTCTCCACACTCAGATTTCAGTTTCCAGACTTCCAACAATAATATGAAAATAGTTTCTTATGTTGCAAAGGACATTTTTTCAATAAAAGTTTTTACATATACTGTTGCAATTTATTTAGTTTTTCATACTTTGTTTTTATTTATCACATTAGTATGTATGTATAAACACTCTAGGTAGTTCTAGCAATTGAAATAATTCTTAACTTCTTAACAGCGTAAACATGGAATACGATGTTTGTAGAATCTGGAAAATAAAATAAATTAATTCAATCTTTTGAAATACAACACAAAAGGTATAAGTTTCTGTTTCATTAAAAATATTCCAGTTTTTCATATCAAAAAGAAATAATGGCTCGTTAAAAAATATTAAAAACTGTGACGAGTTTCAAATGTTATAAAGGAAAATAGTTTTGATTTCACAAAGCAGATATATTTTTTGTAAAAAAAAAGAAAAATATTTTTTATAAAAATTCAAATTCACGTGACTACATTCGAAGAGCCATCTCATTTATAAGATATATTTTATAATTTTTGTTTAGGTATATCTTATTAATTATATTATTTAAATTCTACTGGAGACAAAATGGATAATATCTGGTCCTACCGAGACGAACAATTCCATGTTAAAGGTGAGCATGTCAAGAGCTCTTAACTGAACTGGCGTCTGACACTTAGCTAATATAAAGCAGATGGAACTTCTAATCTTCGAGTCTTGCACCTTCTCCCAGGAACAGCTGTACACTACATTGGCGATTTCAGCTGCCTGAAACCCACGAGCAGTGTTTTTCATTAGAATACCTCTATATGAGGGAAAAGGAAAAGTTTCCGTGTAAGGGTCATGTTAAACTTACGTTGTACGTAACGTCAGATGCGAAGTAACATGGGATGTATATGTGTACAACGGTAGCCAGGGCATATAAATAATACATTTGATTGATGTCGCTTTCCTTGAACATGGTGAGGGTAGGAATCAATTTAATATTAGCATTAAATTGAATATCTAAGTTTAAAAATGAAGTAGGTATGTAAAATTTGTTACGAAAATTATGTCTAACGATTAATTTTTTTACATTATTTTGAGCATTAAAAACTTCTGGACGTTCATTATGACATTATTCGTCTCATACGTAAAATATAGATTTGAAAAAATCAAATTTTTCAATATAATTGAATCATTCCGATGCTAATTGGGCACTCGTCATAAACTTGAATCTAAAGCTGTGTACTTAAGAGTCGTCGTAGAAGAGTCGTTGAAAAATGAATTTCAATATGTAATGACCAGTTTTGGAGACAAATTAATATACCTGTACATAAACGATATCAAAAATTGATCTTTAAAATTTTATGGTTAAGATAATCGTATGTATATAATTTTTTACATGTTTTGTAAAATTAGAGAAAAACGGAGAGGTTATTTTCTTTCATCATCATCATCAGCCTATCAGACGCCCACTGCTGAGCAAAGGCCTCTTTCTCACATGGAGAAGGTTTGAGCATTAATCACCACGCTTGCTCAAGACGGGTTGGTGATTTCAAACTTATAATTGTGAAACTATAAGCCCAGGTTTCCTCATGATGTTTTCCTTCACCGTATGTCAGTGATGTGTAAATACTCTCAGAAAGTACATATGACTCCGAAAAATCACATTGGTTCTTGAAAAGGTTTGAACCCGCGCCCTCTGTAACGAGAGGCGAGCCCCTTAACCACTAGGCCACCACTGACGTTTCTTTCAAACGTGCTCTTATGTAAAAGTTTGTGGCCTTAAGACAATAAAAAATGTGAAAGAAATTACACTGATAAAAGGCATAAAAGATTATTTACTGTTTGATTCGTTATTTGTGTAAACGCCATTCCAATTTGTACAGCCGCGTTGATAAAAATTCCGACAAGCCACACTTCGAAACATGTCTGGATTTTATCTATCAGCCTAAAATAATAAAAAATTATTCGTTTCTGTGATGTTTTAGTTTATATATATACATTTGGTTCTTCACCTCATCACTCCACAATGGTTTCTTACAAATATCCCAATATTCTGTTTTATTTTTTGGACGTCTCTGTCATTAAAAAGGTTTCTTAAGTTTTCCTGGTAAATTTTCAATTTTAATGAAACGTGGAGGAGGGATAGCGAAAACATGTTATCAAATCCTGAAAAAACAATAATATATCCATTAATGAAGAAGTAGATATATTTTAAATATCCCAAAATGTTCAAATGATAAATACCCGTAAAGCCAACAAAAAGAAAAATAACTATGTACATGGTGTAGAGACTGACTAGTTCGAAATAAGGGCTCTGATACTTTTGTTCCTCTGATATAATGATAGCTTTTAACTCGTGGACCATGTAGCGTCTAGGATCGTCAGAAAAAAGCTGGGAGTATATAGTGCATGCACCAGCTAGCACTGGATACGACGCCGTAGTCACCAGCAACACAAAACACCAAGATTTTTCCACCTTCCTAGTCTTTCTGATAGTATCCTCAACCAAGTCCTGATATTGTTCAGACATTTCATTGAATCTTTCATAATCTGCGTCCATTTCTTCTAAGAGAGATCTAAATTCGTCCTTACGTACTATCGAGATAATGAACTGGAATTTGTTGTTTTCAATATTAATATATGACACTGATTAATAAATGAGTTACACTAAAAATGTTTACTTTTATGATGACAAAGGTGATAGATACTAGGACGATTGACTGACGAACGACATTCGCCATGTCGTTGTTCAAGATGCGGAGACGGATGTCGTTGCCTGCTAGAGTAAATGCAGGAAGAGCAGATAGAATTGCAATAACTGGAACAGAAAAGTATATTAAGTAGGAGGAATAAGTTGTTTGTAATGGCAGTATTGTCTAGAAATACATATAAAAGTCTATCTATCCTTAATAATCCTACTAATATTATAATTGCGAAAGTTTGTGAATGTGTGTGTATGTTTGTTACTTATTCACGCTCAAACGGCTGAGTCGATTTTGATAAAATTTTGTATACAGGAAACTGATGTCCAGGAATAACACATAGGCTACTTTACAACCCGGAAATCCCGGAAATCCGCGGGTAACACCGCGGGGCGCAGCTAGTAAAACATAAACGAGAAATGAAACTTCACATAGCAATTGTTTCTTTATATAATTACCTAATTCGCAAATTATATAACTTGAACACCTTTAAAGTACCTACAATTAGCAACTTAATATTCTGTAAATTATACTCACTTATCATTTTCTTTCTTTTTTCGTCGTAAACTGGATTAGGGTACATCAGACCTAGCGTCAACAAGAACGTACTTATTTTATAAGTTTCCCGAATATTCTTAAACTTTTTTCCATTTTCGGTAACATCTGTGAAATCAGGAGTGTCTTATAAACTGATTACAGCAGAAGACTGTTATTTGTAACGTTGACTTACCCGACATGATGTTTAATATAATTAAAATGGTATTCTTTACAAAACTTTTAAGGAGTGTTCCTATTTTTTCACCTGTATGTTTTCAAACTAGATATTAATATACATAAATATATCTGAAGAACTGTTAATACATCTACTTTTATACTACACTGTTACTAAAATATGTTCGTACATTTGAGTACAAAAATCAGACTACATTTTCTTTTTTTTCATATTAAATTTTTAATTATTATAGATATGTGGAAATACATAAAAATAGAAGTAATTTATGTAAGGAAATATGACCGATTTAAGGTTTAAGAAGTAAAGGTGTATTTAATACAGTTTGCAACAAATTTATAGAAACAATCAGTTTTCTAGAAGACAGTAGCCAGCAGTTGTTTCTCACAGTCATACACACGCCTCGTGTGTCAATCAACGTCATCTTAACAGTTCTTTGATGTCACCGTTGTAATCAGATCAAAGGCCACTGGGTTGATTATGATTTCATTCTTCTTTGTCATTTAATGTTCAATCACTAATTGTATATATTACTATTGATGTAAGAATTACCTTAATATTCATTTACAAGGATATCATTACCATTATTCTTAAGTATAAAAAATCTTTTTACTTTACTTTTAGAAGACACGGAGGAAACTTTAGTTTTACTTTAACTACAAAATATGTTGTTTTAATATTGAGATGACTATTCTACGTTATTGTATATTGTATTAGCGTAAAGAATTTAAAAGGAATCCTTTAGGTTCTGACTTCGAACCTTCAACACTGATTTGGAAAAGAAAATGTATATTACAAATGAGGGAATATCGGTGATAGATTTTTCTAATTTTAATAAAGCCTTTGTTTGGTTCGATCAATATTATTAAAATAAGAATATGCATAAAGTTTATATTATTATTTACTTTATATTATTTGGCCATTTTCGATTCTATTAGTTTGAGTATTCAAGTTTCTATTCTAGTATTGAAGTATTTATTGTTTTCCGAGCAGTTCTTTATATAAATCAGGTTCCTCCTGCAGACTCTCTGGCTTTTTCTCACACACGAAGGGTCCCCTCTTGTAGCACCACACGTCGTCCAGCCTCCCATGTCTGAACATCCCGCCACAATACTCTCCAGGTGCTGCGTTATCCGGTTGATGCTCTCCCCAGAGGTCGAAACCAGCTTCAACTAGGGATTGACCTGGAAATCACAAGACTCTCTCTTAGTAAAAGAAGCTTACAAACTGTTGTTTTGTTGGCTGAGATAATTAGTTTAAGCCCAGATTTATTTTTCGTGTCAAGTGTATCTTCAGTTGTCATAAAAAGTCGATTACGAGATTTATATCAGCTTCTGTACATAAAAACGGACGCTTTATCGAGTTTGGTATTTTTACTTATATATTTGATCTATCTTCAATTTATTGTCATTATTTTCTCACATTTTACTGCTGTTCGATCAAAGATATTCTTAAATACCGATAAAAGCAGGCCAAAAATAAATTAAAAGGATGATTTTATTCTACTATTTCCTTCTCTTATAAATTTTTTATTGAATTAAAATTATTCAAAGCTCAAGTTACCATGGATGGTAGTCCAGATTCCCCGTTCGGACCAATCGTGAAAGCCAATGTGTATAATATCCCTCAGGACTGGGAGAGTATTGGGCTCGATGGTGTTTTGAGGGTGTCTGGCGAAGAGTTCTTGTAGTACTTTCGCCTCTGTCTCACTGTTGATGATGGCCAGATGCCCGCCCTCAGCAGAGCAGGTCATGAACGCTCGTGTCCAATTCCTGGCCACTTTGTGAAATTTATAACAACTTCCAGTCCGTGTGTCCAAGTTGTATTCTAAAATGTATAACCTATGTTAGATGAAGATTTTGTCATAAGCCGTGAATTATATTTGGTGATATCTTAAGGTGGTAGAGCCTAGCTGTGGTTAAGTTACTACAGTTTGAACATGGGCTGGCTCGTCCGGGGAAGTACCACCCTCTCACAGAAGATCGGCATGAAGTAGTCAGTAATGACTGCGTTTCGTCCGATGAGTGAAAGAGCCAGTTGCCCTTTTCCTGTTCCCACCCTTTTCTTATACTTCCTTATACCCACCACTCCCATTCCCCCACAACTAGGGTTGGCAACGCATCCGCACCATCTATATTGCGGATGTCCATGGACGACCGTGGCTACTGACTATCAAGTGGGCCGTCTGCTCGTTTGCCATTTTTTACATAAAAAAAATTCTCTAAACAATACCCCTGTCAATAGTTCCACATCCATTGACGACAACATTCTTGTTGTTCTCCTTGTAACAGATGTACGGATGCAGCTCGGAGCAGCTGATGTCAGCTATGGTTCCATTCGCTACGTACAGAATACAATCCTCTTCGTTACTTTTATTGTCAGGTTCAGCCGGCATCCACTCCACCGGCATGTTCCTTAACGGTATTCCTGGAACATTTATTATGTGAGATTAGACTTATGTGGTCTGCGGTTGATAACAACTCTACTATACATATATTGTAAACAAAATAATGATTCATTACATATTGTAAACGAACTCATTACATATATTTATAGAAATCTTATCTGCGACCAAAACAAATACATTGGATAAAATATAATTTTCTTCCTCATTAATACAAATTGAACGAAGATCAAATACCTTCTATTGAAAAGAAGTCGCCTTTAGAGAATGTGGCGTGAATTCCTGTAAGTATACCGCTCGTGGCCACATTACAGTTTTTCATCTCTTTCCGGATGGCCATCTCAATCAATACGCTACTTGGTGAAGCCAGAACAGCACCTGAGTTAAAAAACATTTTAGTAACAGAATTTATGTGGTGTAAATGAATCTAATATTTTTCGGATATACTACACATATAATCACATCTCGTCTGTCCGTGATCACGGTTGCTGAAAAGTAGCCGAAACGTCGGGAGTAAGTACATAGTTCTTTACAAGACTAGACGAAACTTCTCAGCATTCCATGGATTCACCGAGCAGGTGCCGGGTCCACCGCGTTGCAGAGAAATAAAGTGGCGTAGTATATCCGAATAATATTAATTCCGTTTAAATGAATAAAAATCGCGAAAATCTTATATTTCATTCATGTGGTAATGAAACAAAATATAATCATCGTTAATTATAACTGTTAGGGAACAAACCTTCCAAACTGCATCTCAGCCAGGCGTCGTGAAATTTAGCAGGAATACGGTGCACCTTAAGCCAACCATTAGTCTCATAGTGGTAACTGTAGTCAGATCTAAACTGTTGGCAATCTACACGAAGAAAACGAATCAAATGAATTATGACAGAAAAACATCTTTTCAATATTAAGATCTAGTTCAAAAAAAAATATTAAGTGTTTTGAAGAATAATATGAATGAATATTAAATTTTGTGTGCCTTTGTGAGTGTTGGTGTGCATGGAAAGAAGTGCTATTGATTTAAATGAAACTAATATTTTTCGGATATACTACGTTACTTTATTTTTGATAAAAACTACATACATATCTTTATCCAAATAATATTAGTTACATTAAATGAATAAAACTCGCGAATATCTTGGATCTAATTAACTGCTATTTAATCGCCTTTTAAAGCTAATATCTTTATTTCTAATCAATGACAATTAATCATTAAGAGGTTACTTATTGATAACATCTATCTAATGGGAATAACCGGAGAAAATAACAAGTGCTGTATAACATGCAGGCATGACTGAGTAAAAGTTAACTTTATATTATTAATTGTAGTAAAAAATACAACAATTAGATTGTATAGAATATGGAGTTTCTTTAACAAGCATATAGTTATAATTTTTTAAATATTTAATATACATTGAGATTATTTTATTCTTACAATAAAAAATCTCAAATGTGTGTTCAAGTACTCGTAATATATTGTTGCTTTTTAATCTGACACGAATCCTAACAGGTTTTGAAGGTCTTTTCACGCATGACTTCTGAAACATTATCTTTAAGACATATGTTGTATTAAACTTACCAGCCATGTGTGTTAAAACTATAAATAATAAAAGAGAACGCATCATGTACACAAGTTACCTCACGAGATGCAAACACAACTATGATACTAACAGGAAAACTAACAATTATTTTATACATACAAAGACTTGTTTTAATATTTATCAAGCATTTTGGAGTGAGAAGAATTAAATTGTTTTCATATATTCATTAGTTATTATAATTGGAAATAATAAATTAATTAAAGTTATGATTTAATAAAAATTAATGAATTTAAAATTAACCTTCCTTTGTAAGTCGCACGTTTCCTAGTCAACTCCTTATCCTCAGGCATTGCGTAGGCTGGTGTAACAATCTGGAATTTATAAAAATCAACAATTTATACTACTTACAGACTGTAATAATAAGCAATACGACAATATTTTAAAGATTTAACAGTACAACAAATAAAATTTAAATAACTACAGGTTACAAGTTAGCACATGCTCTAAGAACTTAACAAAATTACTTTAACTTCAATATTAATAAAGCTAAATAAACTGAAATCTTAATAAATTATAACCGTAAAGTGATGCAAGTAATCTTTATGATCTAACAAAGCGTTTATAATGCAGATATTTTATACTCTTTGATAACTACTCTTTGATAGATCTTTACAACATAATTAATAAAATAATTTAACTAGGCTTAATTAAGATAAATTAATTTTATTATACTTATATTCGTATAATTTTATTCACGTTACAGTATTAACAAAGATATACTAACCTTAAGCACATTATTTTACGTTAAATACTACCTTAAGAGTTTTGGGAATTAATAATCATCAAGATCTTTATGAGTTTACTACTGGGTACTCTGCTATCCTGACCACAGAATCTTCTTATTATATCAGCGTCCAAGTTATCCTCTGGATGACGCAACAAAATCATGCAGTGATTCCCAGCTGCGTATATAATATTTCTTGATGTCCAACAATTCAATAAATCCTTGATAAATTTTCTTTAATTTGAAACGGGTTTTTTCACATCCAAGCTCGAAACGGACCATACTGCAGATTTCGATAGTATTTAACGAGGAGATATTAAAAAAGCGTAGATTAGTTGCAATGATAATTTTATTGTGTTACATATTTTATGACAGGGTAGGTAAAAAATTACAATAAACAAAGCGCCTATATCTAAATCGTTCCGTAACCTCCATATATTAAATTGCTTCACAATTTTAACAGCCGCTTGCGCCAACATACCTATGTATATAATTAATTAAAGAATATATTATATGTATATTCACAATACAATGTATTTATTTATAGCTATTGTATACTAATCTAGAACTTTAATTATTATTTAATGTCTGATTTCGCATCTAAGAATATTATTACTCCTAATGATTTGATGCTACTCAAATCGTGACAAATCTCGTGTGGAATTGGTTTAATATTTAGATCTCATCTACGTTTCACTATTTCTATAACAGCGATGTGGTAAAAGTTGAAATTTTCTTCAACCATCTTCATTTATTATACAAGCTAGCTCCTAATTATTTTTTATTGTTAAAAAATGCCCCTTTTTACTGCTATTGATATATAAGTATAGCTTTCCAATAGAGACAGAGTTTATGTTATGTCAATTTTTTTAAATTATTCAAACAACTAAATAATAAACAGGTAATAGTATTAACTGTTGGCAACAAATGTTTTCATTATACTGACCGATTTCTTTTCTTCTACATTTTAAGGGATATTACAAACATAAATAAAATTATTTTTGTCACAAAAATTTACATATATGAAGTAAAATTTATCATCAAGTGAGCGACCAAAAGTATAAATAAAACGTTTTCTATTAACATCAGAGCATATATTTTTGTAAAAAATTGTAAAGATTATCTTCACTTAGAGAAATTATTTATTTATGTAGAACAATTATCTCTATCTTTTCTAAACGTTTAGCTTCTGGTAGGGTTCTTTTAATCCAAAAAATAATTATTCATTACTTAATTAAAGTTTCAACTCCATTACTCCTAATAGATAATAATGTTTCACTACGAAAGAAATTTTCTTATGGAAAGGGAAGTGGTCCCTCTTCATTACCACCAGTGGCGGCTGGTGGGTAATCGAACCGGTGGTGCACTTTACTAAAATATTAAAATTAGAAAATGCAACAAAATATAACGAGATGTCAATCATGGCTCAATTCGTCATACATCGGGTGCTCTCGGTAATCTTCGGTCGCTCGTGCGGCGCTCGAGAACCGACTCATTACTCGGTACATTTCTATGAATTATCTTTTGTTTCACGCGTCAGGCGTATTAATGCATATCTCATACAAGATGTATTAGCCGTCCTCGTGCACTCGCCGAAGCGCACGAGATATTAGTTTAGTAAAGCGCTCAAACTCATAATTTAAAATTTAATTTTTTATACGTTTTTAATGTTTAAAAAATAAATATTAAAATGTTAATTTAAAAATAAAGCTGAAGTAATATTTAGTAATTTTTAAATCTTTTGAATTGGTGGTTCAGCGCACGAGTGCACTTAAGGTACAGCCGCCACTGATCACCACCCAAGTTTCTGGAAAAGATTTATTGACAAGAGTAAAGTATACGTATTTTAAGGACCTATTAACACCGACACTGTATTCGACATTATAAGTTCATTTATAACACCTTTTTAGTTTTTCTTAACGGGGTTTGTAGAGTTTCTGACGACATATACAAAACAATACCATACGTTAATTTGATTATTTTTTTTTTCTTTAAAACTTTTATTCTTTATTATTTAAAATTATATGATTAATCGAAATTTTTGAACAATAAGAAACAGCTCTCTTACAAATTGTAGTCCTCTGAAGATATTTAATAATATTTTTTGTATTATTTGTTATATTCTCTTAATTTTAAAACATTTGTTGAAGTTTATTTATGTTTTCTGATTAGTAACGGCTGTTTCGTTTCGGCCTCTGTCTTCACGAAATCACGAACAGTTCAAAGACGGATAAATTAAAAAATAACAGAAATGATTGCCTTAAGAAAAATTGCTTTTGTAATTAGCAGAATATAATATTATTTGTTTTTAAATATACTTGCTTATAAAACATATACCAATTACACTTGGATTAAATATGTTGCACTTAAGATTTGATAACTTATTGTCATTGTATAAAACGTTCTTCTTCTTCTACCTGGCAATTTCCCGGCTATAGCCAGGGTCTGCCTTACTTGTTGTGAATAGTTTTGGCTATTTGTTTTTTACGACCGGCCGCCTGCCTGACATCAACCCTCTTTTGGGAATCAGCATTAATCAGTGATGTCTAAATATTCTTAGAAAGTACATATGACTCGGAAAAATCACATTGGTACTTTGCCCGGGCCAGGATCGAACCCGCACATTGTATAAAACGTTCTGTCATTTATAAACTACAATTAGTGTAGTATAATGGGTTGCAAGCGAACGCAGACAATACAAATTTTCATTACATAGTAATAAATTTAGTAATTTGCCCATTCACAAATATTGCATCTTAAATAAAAGCTTGTGATATTAAAATTGAATTCAACAAATATAATATAAAATACGTTTACTATATTACTATTTCTGTTAAGATATTTTTATTTCAAAATACATGTTTTCTTCGAATGAGACGAAACCTGTCATTATTCAATGTATTCACCGTGCGGGTACCGGGTCCATCGCGTTCCAGGGAGAGGAGCTTCAACAGTGACTGGGACTTGATACTCAGGTATAAATTTAAGGGGGCCCTAACTAACGCGCGTTATACGCTCTCCTCCACTGTCCAAGCTCCTCTTTATACCTAACCAAATTTGAAAAAACCTACTAGGGCTGCCTTCGACGTACGTTCTAAGAATAAATTGATATTAGTTCTGGACAGGCGCAAGACTTTTAGTAGGTTGTAATATTCTTAAAATATTATTTCGAAATCCTTCTAGCGTTATAACAAATAACAAAAGCTTCCTGTCTTCAACTAAACTTAGTTTCTATGCCGGTTTATTCAAAGTGAAGTTTACGATATTAAATATTTTCTCGGAAACTATGTAGAATCTACTGTTCACGTGAATATTTGAAACATGCAACAATAATAATGTTTAGTGAACTACAGTGTAGGTGAATGAGGTAATACTGTGATCTAAAGATGCCTCAGAATATAATAAGAATTTAATCATTTAACGTTTGTTTGAAATATGACACTAAGAATATAAAGTTATAGAAGAACTGACAAGTCTTAAGTAACAAATATTTACATATATTTATAGTTATAAATTTAAATATGAAAACAAATAATTTCTTAGGGAAGACGTGTTGTATGTATAATATAAATTATAAAATGGTGGTGTCTAAATAAACCTCAGCGATATAAGTTGAAAATTTTAATTATGTACAAGAAAAAGATGCATTGAAAGTAGAGGAGGCTGTTAAAAAATTATAATAATAATTTGTATGTCATTATCTTATTGAATATTAGAGATTTTTTAACACGCTTTTATAAGCTTGGGTTGTATGTAATATGTATGTTGTAACGGAATCCTTGAGGTTTTTGAGGATTCGACAAGTCTGAATATTTTGAAAGTAAAAAGTTAAAAAATAAAATAAACTAAAAACAGATTAAAATGCGTGGGGAAAATTGACTATATTTCATATCTTTCCTCTCATAAATAGTTGCTACTAGAATGATTATATCATTCAATATCAAGCATTCCACGCTTTTTATTCTGAATTAACAAATTTCTAAGTTATTTTCTATTTTTAGTTCGGTTCTATACTTATTATTACATAGTTTATATAGGGTGTCCCAACTAGAACGCAATTTTTAAATTTTAAATAAAACACAGATATTAAAAAAAAATATCGTGAAACTTTATTATATCGTAAAGTAGATAGAATGAGGTTATGTGTGGAACAAGATATCGTGCAGATGGCCGCCGCGGCTTTGCAAGCACACGCGCGAACTTTGAATGAAATTTTCAAGGACCGTTTTGCATAAATACTGCGGTATTTCATTAATACAGCGTCCAATTTCCTCTTTTAAGGCTTGAGTCGTCGTCGGCTTATTCGCGTGAACCATCGACTTCAAAAAACCCCAAAAGAAAATAATCTAAAGGTGTTAAATCGCGTGGCGCCGACTTGTTGAAACCACATGCCGTCCACATTCATTTCTTCGATTCTAGGCAAGAAAAAACTGGTAATCATTTCACGATATCGAACACCATTGACTGTTTGCGTTGTTGTTGTTGTCTTTACATCACTAACAGACCCAGTTTCGGCGAATTTATTCATTAATCTCTTTACAGTTGACTCTTTTTGAGTAATTTTCGAACTGTAGCCGCAAAACTTTCACCATTTTGGTAAAACAATTTTACAGTGAGAATGCGTTGTTCATTCGTGTAGCACTCCATTTTTACAAACCTTGTACCTTTTACAAGCAAATAATAACAATTGTTCAAATGTCAAACAATGGCACTTAAAATGGAGCCAAAGTTAAAAGTTGCGTTCTAGTTGGGACACCCGTTATATATATATGTCTATTATTAATGTGTAAGTCACATCTCCTCGCCGTATTCTATCTCGTTATTACAGTATCACTGTTACTACGTATCTGTTATTCTGACCGCGTCGTGTATTAAGGTTGTGTATCAAAGGTTCATTATAATGAGCCAATATGAAACGATATTGAACTATAGGATAGGTTGTTGAGATGAAACTCGATAATTTCTTATAGAACTTGGTACTTTAAATTTTATACTAAAAAATAGTATCCAGGTTATCTCATGAAAGGGTTTCACGGTCTTTTATAAACCCTTTCCTTTTGAAGTACATTTTATCGGTTGAACCCTTACAGCTTCAATGATTCAGTGTTTCTTTTCATAGCCACAAATGAGCTCTTTTTATCTCATTATATGTGTATATACATAC